CAAAATTGATGGTAGAAAAGTTGTCTTCAAGAAAAAAGAAGTCCACAATATTTTTAGCTAATACATTTCTTACATTTTTCCGTTTTTTGATTTTTCGCATTTGATGAGAAAACTCTTGAATAAATCGAAAAATGACTGTAAGATATCTTCTCAGTTAGATTTACTTTCAGAAAAAGTCCTATCATTTTAAATCGGAGAAAAATTGCTGGTAGAAAAGTTGTACACAGAAAAAAAAGGGCCATAGTATTTTGTTACTAATACCTACATATCATACATTTTCTGTTTTTCCGTCATTTTATCCCGGTTTTTCCCAGTTATAAAGAAAATCGATTTAAAAATCTCAAAAATGACCTCTCTAAACTACGGGGATAAAATTTCCTTTAAGAAAATAAGCTATATTTGATACGTGGGAGCAAAATTTCTAGTAGAAAAATTTGGACAACAAATCGATGGGTATTTTTCGATTAAAATAGTCCGAGCGAGCGATAGTTAGGTCTTCAGATACACTTAAAATGCATTTGCTTTTTCCCTATTTAAGTAAAAGTGAAAAAAAGTGCAAAGAATTTTTGTTCAAATACCGAGTTTGACTATACATATTCGTGACCAATTGACTACAAATTACTACAACAAACGTAGAGTAAAATAGACAATATAGAGTTAAATAACATAAACATATAATATGTGTACTTCAAAAATCTAAAATTTTGTAACTCAGTCTGCTCAATTCTGACTTTATCATCCTTCTTAAATACACATAAGCAATACACATATGTTCGATAAAAAAAAATATTGAAAAATTAGATTTGTTCCACGTAATTTTTTACTCAAACATTTTTCGTCAAAATGTAGTAGCAGAATTCAATTATAAAAACAAATACTACATTAAACTCAATTTTTTTTTTATCATAAAAGTAAGATTTAATGAAACTCCTGTTAAATTTTCAAAAATTTCTGTTAAGTCTAATATTACCACAGAGTACTTACTGAGTAAAAATTATGTACAAAACTTGTAAAATTAAAATGGCTATAAATAGCTCAAAAAGGCTTAAATTTGTTGAAAATTTCACTACGTCTTGAAAAGTCAAATAGTTTTCTGTCCAAATTTTGAGTCTACGAATATTTTTAACTGAATTACACCAAATAAAAAAATGTATAAAATAATAAAAGCATTAATTCGTACATTTCCCGCTTTTCTTATGTTTTATCCTGGTTTTTTTCCAAATATTATGAAAACCGCTTGGAAAATAAAAAGATTACCTCCTAAAAGTATCGCTTTACTCAGAATCTAAAATTACATAATAATAGACGGAGTATTTAACCCGTTAACGAGATATTTCACTTTGGAGTTTTGGTAAGGGGAGAATAATGGTGCACTAATAAAACGCCGCGCACCGTGGCCGCCACCCAAATGATACTATATAACAAACTCAAATACACGTATAACATGTACAACTATTATTGTATGTGCATTACGGAAAGCCTAAAAAAAAAATTGCCGCTGGTCTAAATTGCCAGTTGATATAATCGGTATAAGAACTCATTAATCCGGTTATCCTGATTAATCTTCAGCTGAAGTTAAAATTGTTGACAGTTATTATTAATTTAAATAGGTAGTTAGTTTTTCTTAAAATCTAAAGATATTAATTTTTCGTTATTATTAAATTATTACTCGTATAAAACCGTTTGATGTAATTTTTTCATTACTGTCGTTTATTCTTTTAATTATTTTCTACATTTAATGAAATTTATTCATCCATAGAGACATTTCCGGAAGTTTTAACTTGTACAAAATATAAATATACGAAATATATATTCGGTTATAAGCAAAACGGTAAATGAACGATGTTCATAAAAAAAACCGATAAAAAACTGACGAATAATTTTAGTAATATATAACATTACGCCAAGATTTTTAATTAATATTTTATTAAATCTACGTTTGGCTGTATTTTCTTTTTTCTGTAGATTTTATACCTTATTTTTACCATACATTATTTATTTCGAGTCTTTATCTATTTAATAATATTTAGTATTAGTATATAGTATTTCACTTATTAGTCATATGCAAAATAAATAAATAATAAATTCGACGTAATAAAATTACATATTTGAATTTATCTCGGATAATATTTGTGAGCTACCGAAACGTAGATAAATTCAAACATTGATCAGTGGTTTCTATTCGCATATACTATTATATATAATTAATATTATTATCAAGTCAACGAATGTATATGACCGTTATGACATATTGCCTATGGCCATCACTCGAAACGTGATTTGAAGATAAACCCATTAATGCGAAACAAATATATTATTATAACATGATGTCGAAACGAATATTATTTGATGCGAAACAGCGATACTATATAGTATAGGCTGTATATTATATTGTATTATATACATACAAAAACCATCATACATGTGGCAGTAATAATAATATCTTCAACTTATCGCCAATAATTAATAGATAAGACAACTGGTATCTATCACTATAATTATAGGTATACAGGAAGTAAAGTAGGTAGGGTAATAATAATGGCGCACTTTCCAAACCGAATTTCTGGAATAACATTTTGTCTTGTATTATTAGGTCATTATAATCTCATAATATTGTATACCTAGGTATTTATGCAACAGCAGAGGGAGTCTACCTAACTACCTAAGATGTGTTCACTTTATCGTCACCCACTGCGACGTTTACACGAGAAACACATAGATTACACCTATTCAACCACGAAGTGGTCGCACGTGTACGAACATTTAATCGCATGCCAAACAAAAAAAAAAAATGTCCGAATTCGGGGTTATTGAATTCGCTCCCAATGTTTATTGGGTTTAGAATGATGTTTTTTTTATTTATCAATAAATTTTGTACAAAAAATTTCGAATATATGAATCAACTGTAGCTACCGTGATGATTAAATTAGGTGGATATTTCGAACGGGCTCGATCTTTTTCGATCAAAATCGTACCATATCCTTTTCGCCCAAATTTAAAAAAAGTTAAAACTGGGACACCTTATATAGAATACCTAGTACGTATCGCCTTTTATCCATATAGGTTAAGTATACGTACGCAAAATATCTATGTTAGCTTCTAACTTTTTTAATTTTGTGTCATTTGAAGTTCATTGCAATTTAACTGAAACCGCTTCATAGAAATAAAAAAAAGTTCAAGTCATCGCCGATCGTAAAGAATCATGACGAATAAATAATTCACTTGAATTTAAATATATATAATATACATATATATATATATATATATATATATATATTTGTTATAATATTATAATATAAATATATTTATTTTTTATTTTTATGTGAACACTCTTTCTACCAGATTTTTCTACTCCGATTATAAAGTATATCACCTTTTCTGAAAGGAAATTTTCTCTCTGGGTGGTACTATAGAGAGGTCGTTTTTAAAATTCTCATTAATATTTGAGCTAATGAGAAAAACCTCGGTCTTTAGGTTAAAAAAGATTGAAAGTTTAAAAGTAAGATTATCATTGACAACAGTTTTTATTTATTTTTTGTTATTATTAAATTTTTATTATTTTAATCTTTTTAAACAATCATTGTTGTCATGGAAACGCACATTTTTTAATGATTTTACCATAATATGACATGTATATTGTTGACAAAGCAACACTATCAACTGAACTCGGCTTAGAAACGTTTCTTTTTTAGCAATGGTTTATCGTTACTTACAGATGTACATTAAATTCCTGTCTGTATCCTATTTTCCCAACTTTCCGCATACAAAAGTTGTTGCACCCACGTGCAAAGTACGTCCGTCCTTTTTTTTTTATTTTACCTTAACCTCAGAAATTTCCTTTTAAAATCTATACTTGATTGCAATTTATCAAGCGTACAAAGTTTTGAATATTACACAGGGTATAATCATTTTGGAAATGTTAACGAATTTAATATAATTTATGATGTGGATTTTATGCACTATAATATATAATACTGTTATAACCGCTTAAAATTATTGGTTTAAAACATGTCGAATTGATGCAACGATGAAGTTACGACGGGGTAACTTTTGTACGAAAGTTTTTAATTGTTACGGACTGTTTGCACCACACACAACATTTAATTCAATGTCGTTTTCTATGTTAGTAGATAACTCAATGTCTATGAATAATTTATCTGTGAATTATGCATTACGATACGTATGCAAAACTTGTCGATATATCATATGTGTTTTTTGTTCTTATCGTTGTATGTTAAAATTACGAAATATTGAATTTAAATTATTATTCGTTATCTCTGTCGTTTTCGTTTCGTTATCGTACACACACGTATTTATTATCCGTTTATATACTATATTTTTTGTTTTCTGTCGTGCCTATTTTTTCGTCTGCGTACTCGTGAACGCTCCTATTAACATTATTCACCAAAACTATCGTTTTTGTTACTCTTTTATTTATAATTACTTATTTGTCACGTTGACACAATCTGGTATATTTTTCGGTTGTTTGTGAAAATAAATTTATACCTTCCGACAATAACTAGCGCGCGTTTGTTTTGTTCATTCTTGAGATACCGCCCGTTCCGCCATATCTGTCCTTTTCCGACAATCCTTTCACTTTATGGATCGACAAATAAAATCTTCCCGCGGCCGACAAATTCGTCGTCATTTTGTTTCTCGTTGTATATCAGTCAACGTCCAGTGACCCTCACTGAATGGGTCAGTGTCACCTGGTTGCCTGAGGTCGGGACTGGTACCAGGGAAACTCTTAAGTCCATCGCCGATCATTGTGTGTGATGTGAAGTGACCGCCCAGATCGTCCGATTGCGAAGCCCAAGAAAGTGGATTCCCAAGTCCAGGAGGTTGTCGACAACACGAGTCGTATTATTTATCTTTTATTGTATACGTAGTTTTATGGGTAGTGTATAAGTTTTGTGTGTGGCCATCGTCATTGTCGCCCCTACCGACAGCGAAATCGCGTCAGTCGACCGTCCAGTTAGCGCGATAAGTGGTCTCACTTTTTAGGTGCCTATCTTTTCAGTAATCGGCGTCACGCCAACTAGGATGCTCGCCATCGCGTATCCCAGCGCAGTGTCCTTTTGGTTGCCTATGCTAACCGAAGGCGGTATAAGGTGATCGGCCTTTATCAATCCGATCTGGTTCTTCGTCCATAGTTCACTCATTTTAGACTTCATACAAATAAACGCGGACGATGAATCTTTTGATTAACTATCAAATTCAATTACACACACACAGTTCAACGATGTTTTAAAAGTTTTGGAACCACACGGATTTCGGATTCTTATAATAGTGAAGGCATTTTCTCAGACACATTTTAATTCTGCCTACCTTTTTACTTTTATCACATTTTCGCGGCGCGTACCTACTCGGTCGATCACACTGTGTCATGACGTGTATGCGTATAGATATTTGTAGCTCAATCAGAGTGTTCGGAATCGCCACAAAAATCTGACGAGCTACGTGGTGACGGTGGATGTTTATACGACGTGTATACGTGCACACGTGTGTTTGTATCTTAAAAACTATGAAGAAAGGTAACTAAATAAGGTAAGATCGGTTTGTCGTAACTTTGGTGTTGCTGTATAGTAATTAAATTAACGTAATTAAGTATTACGTATTAAGTAATTAAATGGCACGAATTTTATACAAATCACGGCTACACGGAAAAATAACAATACAAAATAAATAATAAATCATAAGAAAAAAAAACCTCGAATCTGCGGAGCGCCAACTGGTTTACTCTAAAACCTATATTATAATAATTGGACATAAACATAGAATTACAATTATAATTTTTTCCTCCAAAATGTTTTGGTGGCAATTCGTGCCGGCGACGATTACCGTGCGCATACAATAAACACAATATCTAATTATTCGGTGAATCTCGCACGGGCTAGATTTCTAATGTAAAAGTTGTTACAAAATATGATCGAAAAAAACATCCCACACATCATAGTAAAACCAAAACATTTCTCACTGCCCTCAGAATCTAAAATTAATTTCCGTCGTTTAAATAGTTAATAAATACAGTTAAGGTTGTAGTTTACGATCAAGTCTTATTTTTTCCCCAGTAGCCAAGGTAAATCAGTTTAAGAAATACCAAAACTAAGGGTCTAAGAGGTACTAAACGCCCTTGGCTCTTTGAAGTGCCCCTTTTTGAATTGAGGATTTCAAAACAGCTCTAAATATAAGCAAAATACTTCCGAACGGGAATTCCGCATATATTTTTTTATAGCACACACCACTTTTTCGTGAAACAAATAGCTCCAGAATCTTAAATATATTTTTTAATCGCCGTTCCGGAGTGTCGCGAGTGGTTTTCGGTCCTACCGGTGGTGGCCGGGCGTGCAAGCCGGAAGAAAATTATAATATTATACGCTGACGCTGCATTTATGGTCTTGCGCGCGCGCACACGAGGAAGCCACTAGCTCCGCGGTCGCCGAACGCATTCTTGTCGGCGGCGGGGGCCACTTGCGGCGTCGCGCGTCGTCCCTTCGCTTCCAGCCGATGCGTTCGTATATTTGCGTGTGTGCGTGTGCGGTGCGAGTAAATTACAAAAGCGCGCTCCACGCGCGCGCACACACACGCACACACACACACGCACACACACGCGCGCGCACACACACACACACACACACACACACACACACACACACGGGTGCCCGAGACGACACCACCGCTGCCGCAGCCGACGACGACGCCTCCATCGTCCTCCGCCTAATACTCCTACACCTCCGCCGTCGCCACCAACACTTCTTCATCCCGCACAATTTACACCGCGCCGCGGCTGCTCCGCCGACGGTTTCGGAAAACCGTGCGGCACCGCCGCCACCACCCCCGATGTATTGAACGCGTCCGCGCGACGGCCACGCATGCGCACCGCCGCTGGCGTGGCGGCACCCCCGTACATATATAGAAGCGAGTGGCCCAGGGCCCGCGCGTTTTGAAAACCGTCCCCGGGAGTGCAACAGGAGGGCCCGCGGTCGCGCCGACACCGGTATAGGTACCAACGACGACGACGACGACGACGGGACTTCGGACGAGCGCACGCGCGCGCCGCCGTGACTTCGGCTACTCTTCGCCGCACGACAGCGCGTTCGGTGGTAGTACATAATTTCACACTGTATAGTAACGGTAGTAACGGTCCTGATACTGTCCGAACGCCGTCGCCACCAACGTCGTAGACGCCACCCGGTCTGCCGCTGTTTCCGTCGTCGTCTCCCCAGCGAGTACCTGTTACGTACTATTTATCTTCGCACGGTAAGTTTTCCGCTTTTGTTGTTTTCTTTGTCGATTAACCGCGAAAACTTCGCGTCTTTGAATTCTCTGTGTACTTACCCAACAGCATATTATTTAGGTACACGTTTTGATTTAAATCAGTACATAATGTGTACAGATGAAAACCGCTTACAGTTAAACGTAGATTCGAATTTTGAATTATGATTATTTCAAAATAAAAAATATATATTAAAAACGTGAATATTTTCTTTTACGGATTCACGACGATTTGAAATTATTTGATGTTGCACAAAACCGAAATTATGTTCCGTAGTCAATTATAATATGATATTTTAACACGTTTTTATACGCGTACATAATGTTTCTCTATAACTGCCAGAACTTGTTTATAACTTATATACCGAATATATACAAGTGTTTCTGAAAGGTAACAATACAACTACAAAGTTAAATAATATACAATAAAAATCGATTTGAATAAGTCTATGTTCAATCGTATTCGAATTCGATATTTTAATTATTGTAAAACGCGTACGTCTTTTAAATCGTTCGCGTATATAATAGATATGTATAAAAATTTAATTGTAACTATATTATTATAATATATTTTTTTTTTTTGTATATGAAATTTATTAGTAATAGTATAATATAGTATTATGGTGCCTATACACTATTGTTCGACCGGAAAAAAAAAACATGTCTAGAAATAATATTATTTTATTCCGCTATTATAAGACAGTATTATGTATTCGTGAATAATTTATTAATTTATTTTTCACGTATACGAAACGACGAATATGCATATTATCATTTCGTGTACATGGGCGTCCATTGGGTCCCTTCTCACCCCACTCCCCTCACACCCCTACCGCTACTCGGTAATGCCATCTAGATTTTCCGTACTTACGTTTGCGACACAATGTTAACCGTAAGAACAAAAAGGTCATTGAAAAATACAATATAACAATAAAAAAAATTTTAAAAACACTCTGTCCCCGGCCCGCGGATTTTTGAAGATATACGTCCTAAGTATATTGTCCATGTGTAATTCCAAAATTTATCGAATGAATTCTACAAGATAAAAAAAATACATATTTACATATATAATGTATACGATATTCATAACACCGGTGTACGACTTCTGGACGTCGTCGATGTTCACATATAGTTTATTCGACTTTTCTTTTCGACTATGATTTTCGGGCGTTCCCTCCCTCTCCCTATGCATTATTTCCGAGACTAGTCTGTTCGTATAACTCGTATAACCCAATGCGTTTTAATGAGATCAAATCGCGAAATGAAACTCTTAATCATAATATCGAATAGGTAGACGTCGACTGCAAGCGGATAATATTTTAATAGTAGGTTAGTTTCGTTTCGTGACTTACGGGGGAAATTTGCGAAATACTTTACTCGACGAGACGTTAAAACATTGGTAATAAGAGTATTCGTAGTGTAGACTGAATGGAGAAAAATAAATCCAAAGACTCTGTCCATTATAGCTTCTGACGCGAGATAGAGTAGGGATGGACAGAAATCATTGAAAAGAGTAACAGAGTTTATACATTTGAGCGGTCTGAGCGGATTTTCTTATTATGATAATAATTATTCATCATTTCATTAAATTAACGTCGGAACTACTAAATTCTTTATAAAAACCAATGATCGGGGGGATTACGAAAAGAATCGTTATTTACGTTAATTCGTTTTCTTTTCCCGGGACACCTGTATCGAAGCCGTATCCGGGGGTTTTAGGAATTAAACCCCTTCTGAAATTTTCTCAATAGTATTGTTTGTTATTTTCAAGATTAATTTTGATTGCATTTAATGTACATGATTTAATGTACATGATTTAATTTAAAACCTACCCCGAAAATGTGGTCCTACTACAGACTCGCCCTGTATTATACTTAGTTAAGTTTGTTTTACTTGAAGTTCGTTTGTTATATAATATATGTACGTGTAATTTGTTATGTTTCACATTTTTCTTTTTGTTTTTTTCTTTTTTTTTTTACGCACAATTAATTCGTCTCGGGATCCGACTGTTTGCTCGGAGAGTGCTCTTTTTTTCCTCGTTTTTTATATTTACTCGTGTAGTTGGTGTATGCGTAAATCTATTCTTCGTTTAATCCGATGAGCCGGATCCGAACCAAAAAAAATCAGAAAGAATTTTATAATTTACATTCGACGTCAAATAATTTATTTAGAATTCGTTTTTCGGGTCGATTCTGGGAGAGTTCGGTAAACGTTTCTCCGCTCTCCCTCACTCCCATCTCCGGTATATACATCCGCCCGCTGGGACACCGTTGTCTTTATATAGGGTGGGGCGGAATTCCGGAATTACGGTTTTTTGTATTTTCGCTTTCGGGAGTTATAAATAACGATTCTTTTCGTAATCCCTCCGATCGTTGGTTTTTATAAATAATTTAGTAGGTCCGACGTTAATCTAATGATGAATAATTATTATCATAATAAGAAACTCGGAAATCGTTTTCCCAACGATAATACTATAGCATTTTTACAAAACCGCCCGAAAACTTCAATCGACCACGTATATCATGTTCGGGAACCCTGTATATCGAGAGTCTGGTCCTCCGATCGTCGTTAACGTCGTTTCGTCCGTTAGGTTATTAAGGTAACTTCGTTAGTAACCCGAAGCGTGCAGTGGATACAATATATTATCATTAAAATATGACCTAATCCGAATTACTATCGCCCCGTGAATGTATCGTCGTCATGACACTTTCATACGATCGCGGTCTCCGCCGAGACAATTTGCATGGTCCGAAGACGTGATATTGACCCTTACAGCCCGACTATATAAAGGGAAAGGACATGCGATGGAGACTTATCAAACAGCACCCTTAAACACGAATATTTTAGTTTTCCCGAGTATACTTAGTCAAATGATGCATTGTTTTTTTGTCGGATTTTTTCCCGAAAATGTGACAATTGCACTGTATTGTGTCTATTATATATGCGTATACATACGCAGGTATATAATAAATTTATCCTTTTATCGCTACTTTCGGACACTTTTAACGGCTCCCTCTCAACTATAAATGAGCTGAAAATTTGAAATTTGAATGGTTTTTGGATTGTAGCGATAAAAGCTTGATTGAATTTCAATACGGATTTCATCATGTTGATGTTGTTACGAGAATAGGATAATTTTTTTAGTTTCTCACTCTTAAATGTGAAGTGAATGAAATTTGTTATTATATTTCTATTTACACTACAAGTACCTCCGCTTTAACTTTGGACAATTTTGATTATTAATTTTTTTTTCTCTTATCGATTTCCGGTTTCGTCAGCTATTGTATGATTGAAATCTGCTAGAGATATTATGCTCTCGTCAAAGAAAATTGTTCTTCCATAAACGTCCATAACTATAATATAACGATTCATTACCGGTCACTTGTAAACGATAATGTCACTGAAATGAAAACCCGAAACCGTGAAACACTGGATATTAATTTATACATCACGACGAAGGCGCTAATCCTAAACGTTCGATTTATACAGGGTTTTTTGACATCCATTCCCTATCGTATATTCCAAATATTTGTAGCAAATAGCTATATAAAATATTCGAGGAGAAGGATGATTTCCTTCCTTTATGATTATGATATCCAATGATCAATTTCATTTTGATTGAATTAAAAATATTCAAATTAAAATAATCAAATACTAAATATAATATTATCTCTAAGAAAAAAAATGATGTCCAATTACCGAATTGTCGGTTGAACGTTCTATTATATTGCATAAGAAGTTGTTGGGAGATAATTATCTGCGAGATAAAAAAAGTTTCGTTTATGTTGGAACTGCTGTATGCAGGAAATATAATATCGTGTTTAGTCCACATAAATACTTGAATAAAAACAAATAACTAATTTCATACTATCTTTAGATTCTAATAACAGGACAATCTGATAACTTTTAAAATTTTTGTTTTTTTGTTTTCTTTCTTTTCCTGTTGAATTTTATTGGTTTAGTTTTCTAGATATAATTAATGCTTATTAATTTATAAATTATTATCTACATTTTACTTTTTAATTTAGACCGGAAATTAATGGTCACAAAATAATATTAGCTCTCATACCCTTGATTACAGTAAATACACTAACTTTTTCTACCATTTATAATTGTTTACATATTTTTTTTAAACAAATATTTCCAGGTAAAGTTTAAACAATTAAGGAGAAATGTATGGATAATGTAAGAAGTAAACTTAAAAATAAAGAGCTGATACTAGGGATGGGAGCAGCTACTATTGTAGGTGAGAAGTTAGGAAGCCAGGAAACATTAGGTTATTTCATTTATATCTGTAAGCAATGATAAACCATTGCTAACAAATGACGAATTCAAGAGCAGTTCGGTAATACATTATTTGAAGTGCCGTAATTTTTTTTGCACTTTTCGTTTAAATTTTATTTCAAAACGCTTATTAAAAAAAAAAAAGTCGTCCGGTAATTTTCGAAATTGTATTATGTCTAGGTAAGTCCAATATAAGTATTATTACCTAATTTCAAGTTTCTACGTGTATTTATAATCGAATTGCAGCAAAAAAATTCACAAGTTTTAGTAATGATACCGTAAGCAAGTAAATCAAAAAGGCAACAAAAAAGGTGTCTTGTGATTTTTCGATTAAATCATTTTTTCTGGTAGAAAACGTCGTCCGTGTTTTTATAAAATAATGAAATCGTGAAATTGTACGTTTCCTACATTTTTTCTCACTTAAATAATTTTATTGAAAAAATAACGTCGAAAATCAAAAAATAACCTGTTTAAAACACAATCTAGACAACTTGAAATTTCAGAAAAAGTGCTACACGTAAAAATTGGAACAAGTTTTCTAGAAAAAAACGTGTCCACAGACTAGAACAAAGAAAGAAAAAAAGAAACATCTTAGTAAAATAAATAGCTCACTCGCTACGCTCGGAATCTAATATATTACATAATATCAAATAGTTTATACTTTATTTATACATTATTCTTTCAACAAATTTATTTAAAAAAACGTTCCTGTGGGATTTATTCCATATTCAAAGTCAGTAAGCTAATTCTAACAAGCATAAAAATAACAAGTTTTAAATCATCATTTTAAATAATAATAAATAACAAATTTTAAAATACTTTGTAGGTATTTGAAAACATCTTTTTGATATACTTTTTCTTAATTATATAATTATTTATTAATTAATAATAAATACTTACAATTACTGATAAATACAAATTTCAAAGCTTATAAAATAATATTTGTTATATATAAAAAAAATCATAAAATTGATATAATCTCAGCCATTAGTCTCTACACATTTTATAATTCCATACTACACTTTTAATATTCCGTACTAAACACAATGTGGCGTATTACATACGAAAATAGGCCCTGATAAACCATTTAAACCGTTTTATCGATACAACGAAGTAATAAAAAAGGAAAATCTAATGTAACTTGTCGATGCGTTTTCAATTTGATACTCATTTTCTTAAAACTCTAAATGATTTAATCATATTTGTTATTGTCCTTATTTGATTGGGTTTAATGAAACGCACTAAATGAGTAATTATTTGTAAAAAAAAAAAAAAAAAAAAACAGTAAAAATATTTGAGAGAATACAATTGAAAAGCAAAAATTCAAATGGTATTCATTAATACAAAAAATTCAAATTCAAAAATCTATTTTGAAGTGTCAATGTAAGTTTACGGTTCGATACATCTCAACAAGTCGTCCGTATGCACCGGACACTGTCCGAAATATTACGAAATTGCAAAATTCAAATTCTAAGCGTAGAAAGAAATATATTGATAGCATGATGTTTTTTGTCTGTTTTTATCAACATTTCTAACTGAAATATTCCTTCGATTTTCAAGTGTAGTATTTATTCTAAAAGCAAAGTGTATCTTAAATAATTGTTTGATTATTTTTGATTTTATTCAGTTTAAAATAATCGCAGATATTTGAAATTCTCATGGATTACTTATATTCACCTTTTCTATACATGGTCAAATATTTTTGAACTATTTATAATCATTACGTTGATACAATTGTTCAGGCCCATAAAAAATGCTTGACAATTTAATAACGGGTTCATTATACGAGTAATCTAGTTGTACTTGGTGGCGAAAATTTACTTAGTGTGAAATATTTTTCTTTCACAATTATTTAAACTTCAAATTTTTATGAAAATCCTAAAAATCGCGAGGCATTTCAACAAAGTGTGTTTAAAACTGAACTTCATTCAAATTCATCAGCAACAATTTATAGTTGCGTACAGTTAAAAACCAAGTTACTTTACGTAAATATCCTACCTATTATTTTTTCTTCAGAAATAATTAATGTGCAATATAATAATATTCTCGTGTGTTGTGTATACTACGAGTATATTATTATTATGAATTCAAAAACCGTTTCACTTATTTTCGGTATTCGTTTATTTTGTCGCGCGTCGTTTATTATTATCGTATTATTCCCTACAAGACGTATACTCGAAACTATTCGACGTGTTTTCCATTAAAAATTCATACCATAGGTTCCTACTTGTGTATCGTTAAATCTCAAGTGTCATGCGTACGACGTCATGTCTTAAAATGTCGGACGACGTGCTTAAATTAATCGTTTACCTTTAAACTGTCTTACCAAAAAATTCAATACATATCACTGTTTTTTTTTCTCATTTCGTACGTTTCAAACACAATAATAAGATAATAGCCATGTGAATTTTGATGGAAAATGATAATACTGTTATTTCCGTAAACTTTACTGTTCAACCTACGTTTCCGGTGTTCACAATAAAGAAAATCATAAAACGACTTCCAAATCCACCAATTACACCTAATTTTTTTTTTATAAAATAAACTATGTTTCGAAAGAGCTATTACAGTAAACTTTTGTCCATTTTAGATTCTGAGTGGAGCGAGGAATTGGATTTATAATGATGATTATGTTTTTTTTTCCTGTGATCAACTTTTCTTATTTATAACATTACAACCTTTTCTGAAAGGAAATCTGACTGGAGTGATACTTTAAAGAGGTAATGTTTTGATTTTCCTAGGAGTTTTTCCTATAAATGGGAAAAAACGGGAAAATGGGTACAATTATAAACAAATATTATTAAAGAAAATATATAATGCATATGTAATTCTTTTACCATAATATGACATAAGTTTATATTGTTGACGACAAAGCAACACTATCAACCAAACTCCGCTCAAAATCGTTTTTCGTTAGCAATAGTTAATCGTTACGTACTGTTATACATTAAATTTCTCCTTTACTACCTTCCCAACTTCTCACCTACAATAATAGCCCACCCATGTGCGAAGTATATCCGTTTTTTTCTAATACATTACTTATTGGTTTTTCTCCGAATGCTCTTCTCAACACACCAACTAAATTTAAAATGCAACGAAAACAAATTTGTTGGCGTTTTTTGATTGAATGAAGAATTCTGGTAGAAAAGTTGTTTCTAGACACACAAAAATCAAACAAATAAAATAAAAAGACACGGAGGTATTTCATAAGATAGGTTGACAGAGGCCTACCCATCATGCCACCTACAACAGAGGTTATAGGTGAGAAGTTGAGAAGGAGGATATAAAGAGAAATTTAATATATATATCAACGCAACGATCAATCTTTGCTAACAAAAACCAATTCTGAGTGGAGTTCGGTTAACTCATGTTTAGAAAAGCTTTACGATTTGAAAATAATACATTTCGTAAATGTTCTTGTTTTTTCCCGGTTTTTCCTATTTATTATAAAAACCCCTGGGTAAATCAATGAATATCTTCCTAAAGTACTACCCCAACTCAAATCTTCTTTCAAAAAAAGTGCTACACTTGAAATCGGAGCAAAATTTCTGGTAGAAAAGTTGGTCACAGAAAAAAAAAATAAACATCTATGTAAAACCAATACAATCTTCCCATCGCTCAGAAACTCAACAAAAAAATCACTTACATCATATTAAAACCAATACATTTCTCGATGTGCTTTGAATTTAAACATCATATATGTTTTTAGTGTCTACTTGATAATGAATGTAAATTTATCGCGTGTTTCTTGAAAATGTATGTAGGTATAAGTATAGGTATATGTACTCGTTTTGTTCGTAACTATATACAAACTTATTCACCGTTTGTTGTACTGTATTATTATTTTGTAATTTGAATATTTTAAATACTCCCTTATTAATATAATGTCGGTGTAAGTATAGATTTAAGTAAATATTATACATTTTTTATTTATTACACTTCCTAGGTACTAATGAAATAAATTATCAACTCGTTGCTGTAAAACATATTCCAATTATATTTTGTTAGTTGGGTACCTAATGTGTAATAAGGCCATATTTAAATTCTTACACGAATAACAATTTTAACTGTATGTCTCATATTTTATTAATAATTAAAAATTATGAATATAATATATGCTTGTAATAAAGATAATGTGTAATGGATAGTTTACAATACTGATATTAATAAAAAAAACGAAAAAAAAATGTATTTTCGATCATGTACTATCCTATCTTATATTAATAATATTATTATGACTGATATTTTGAATTAATATAATATAATTTTTATATTTAATGCTTAGCGAAGGATCTATATTGGTTTAACTATGATGTGGGTTTTGTATTTTTTTTTCTGTCTGTAAACAACTTTTCGATAAGAAATCTTGCTCCTATGTGTCAAGTATACCATCTTTTCTGATAGGAAATTTTATCTTGTTGGTGCAATAACTGGAAAAAACCCGAAAAGATAACTATTTTATCTACGGTTCACTGCGGCGTTAACAACTGTTTTTGTTTAATTTTTGCAAACTATGTTTTCTATCGAAAATATTTCTTCAATAAAAAAACTATGAGAGACCATTTTTGTTGCATTTTGAAGCAAGGCTATTATTGAGTTATTTATAGACATTTAAATTTTTTCCGATTTTTTACGCAATGTTTGTTTGTTAAGTACTCTGTGAATAAAATTGTTAGACTAAACCGAAAAGCTTAAACATTCAAATAGAAGGTTCATAAATAGTTGTACATGGTGATCAAAAAAAATAAAAAAATAGACTATTATTTAGAGTATTTATTAAGAGGTTTAATATGAAATTTTGATTGAAATCGTAAATATTATAACCTTTCAAAACATATATAACCGAAATTAGCTCTGAATTGTTTTTTTTTTTTTTTTAGCAATGGTTTAGCGTTGCTTACAGATATAAATTAAATAATTATATTCCAAAAAGTTTCACCAAAATCAAATTTCTATATTATCGTATTGAGTTAATATATTTATGAAGTTTTTCTAACGGTATTCTTACCAATATAATGTTATTCTAATTGGTTCTATAACTAGATTTAAAGCTAAAAAATCGCAAAAAAAAAATCATGCATTTTACAACTGTTTCTTGAAAACGATATTCGATGCATATAATTCTATACAACTTTATACCTTATAATTGTATGGTTAAATATTGGCATTTATTGTTTCATGGTCTGCAGTTATTATTATTTTTGCTTAAGAATACATTGTCAGTAAATCCACAACTTTACGCTTTCCGGTTAATTTTTGCGTACTGATAATATTTATGTTCAAAAATTTCGTCTTTTCTCAATGAAAATGTTACTCAATTACTATCGAACCGCTATAACTATAATAGTACTTTAAGAAGTTCTTTTTTTTATTATATTTTACTGTGTTATCATATTTCCGAGAAAATTACAATAAAAATCAAGCAAACAAAAATGTATAAACTATGCCTATACCTGTATACTAGCGTATATGTTATACGATATACCTATGAAGTTTTATCTTCGGCAAGAATAATAATTACAAATAACATTTTGAGAATGTCATTCCCATAAAAAATGTATTTCGCAAAACATTTATCCGAATATTATATTGCACCGTCGCCTAAATCTGCAAAAGGGTTTGCGGACAAAGTCGTTGTAGCCAATCCAATTTTCTCGATAGACCCGTGTTGCGTTGCGTGTAGAATAACAATAATAATAATGATAATAATAAAACGTATAGAATTTTGTTTTGTTAGCTCGGCCGTGTCGGGGTCCCGGCGGCTATATATTTATATATATATATATATACGGAAAACGGGACGGTTTAATATTATCCTCGGAGACGAAGGACGGGGAAGAACTTGTTTCACCGAGAACGACGATAGATAAAGAGAAGGAAGAGGAGGTGGGAGTAGGATCGGCCCCATTTGTCGTGATGACTGAACCCATGGGCGACATAAATCTCAGGCCCAGACGTTAAATTTTCCTCCGAAGCTTACGACGACGTTTATTATTATGAAAATAGACGGGACACGAGAAAATCTCAGAGAAAACACTGTTTACTACGACGCGTTTGACGCGGCTAAATGAAAAGTGAAATTATTATTGTTATACAGTCTCAAAAAACAAATAAATTATATTATTATAAAATTATAAAATAAATTTCAAATATATATTATCTATATACCTAGAATAGGTTGGAATTGTTATTTTTTAACTTGAATTATCTTTATCGTACTTGAAAGACAAAATATCTTGAGTTGATTTTTGAAGAATTTTTGAAAATACAATTACATTTTTTTATGATTTCCACTTGAATGATTAGGTTTCTATTTCAACCCTGTTCCATTATATTTCCCTGTTATATTTGTTCTATGTCCGTCAACATATTTATTTATTGTTAAACTATTGTACAAATTCTATATTTTCTTAAGTAAAAAAAAAAATAATAAAACAATTTAAAAGAGATATATTATCAGCACAAACTATGCAGTATAAAATGTAAAGTGTGCTGCTCAAAATTCCAGTGTGTTTGAAATCGGCCTTATAATATGAAAGAGAACTAAAGAGAAATATTGCCCCGGGACGCCAAAACCGTAAATACGCCTCTGGATATTATAATAAATATTCCCGCGTATTTGAGTATATATATATGTATGGAAAATCATTGCGCGGATTTTCCGTCGCGATTGTTAGATTTCCAAAGTCGTTGAACTGCAACAATCACAGTCAAACGCAATTTACTGTAGACATAATTTAACAAAAGAAACCGGTTTTTATTTAATTTTTTTACTATTTACATTTTCCAATAGATTATTTATATTAAATAACATCATGCAATGTTTATTACCGTATCTAAGTGTATTAATTATAATTTATTAAAAAACAAAAAAATTGCACCTATTTACGTATAGAAAACACGCGGTCCTCTATAAATTTAATAATTATATAGGTTTACTGTACAATTTCGTAATTATAGTCTATAAGGTATTTTGTACTACTTAAAAATGGCATGTCCTCGTGACTTTCAACAATAAAAAAATCCTAAAAAAAAACTCCATTTTACGTAACGCGTGCGAGTTACAAACAATATATTATTTCTTATTATTTTATATAATAAGCACTCACTTAAATAAACTTAATATTAAGTTAAATTTATACAGGAATTTATTTTTATTGTTTAATTAAACTCTATATTTCGTAAACCGCAAACGAAAATCCCGTGTAACATCATCATATGAATACATTATTACCTATCGGCAAGACATCACGAAATTATTCTTTTCTATTAAAAAAAAAATCATTACTTTTTAATATACTCTTTCTGAAATTAATTTCATTAATAATTATAGAGAGAAAAAATTCAAATTTAAATTTGATGTTTTGGACACACTTAAAGCTGTAATTTTTATTTCTTGTTTATCATATATACAATATATGATTAACTGTTGTGACTGTGTGCCATTCAGTTTTAATGAATGTAAAAAGATAACTCGATTGAAATAATTACTCCTACACAATGAAAAAAAAAAATTCTATTCAGTTTTGTTTTAATTAGATAAAATATGTAGACAAATTGACTTTTATTTTTTATCTTATCTAGATAAGATCTAGATAGCAAATCTATATATTATAAAAAAATAACTTGTCCTGATACTAACTGATTCGTCGTCGCCTAGGCTAAATCATTGGACAAATTGGGCTGGAGTTTAGCATACAGATAACTATTATGAATTAGGTATCCTCTAAGAAAGGATAATTGATAACTCAGTCCTTAGCGGGTAAAATAGGGGATTTTAGGAAATTTCGGTACGTATATTTAATTGCTTATTTTTTTTTTTGTTTATTAATTGGTTACCTTGGTGATACGGATGAAATAACCAAAAAAATGGCCCAGGCAACGCCGGATGGGATAGCTAGCAGGACGAGAAGATTTTTAGAATTTTTGAAACATTAATTTAAATTAATTTGGTGATTTATAGGTTACTTTGGTGACGTGGATGATAATTTGGTTGTCATGGACAAGAAAACTATTATCATTATTATTATTATTATTATTCTTTTCACTATTCTCTAGCAATAGTAAAAAATTACCGAATTAGCTAGTAAATAATAAAATTGTAGTAAATATATCTATGCATGAGTCATAACAATATATATAATTATATACATCTAAAGACAAAGTTGGGCAAGTTACTTAACTTTAGTATTTGAGCAAGTTACAGTTACTTTCCTTAATGAAGTAACTTAGATAAAATACTAGTTACAAGGTAAAGTTACTTTACAATTTTTTTTTCAATTGGCTTAAATTTTTCAATTACTCGTCAAAAATGTATAAGTTATAGTCACTGGTTTTTGAAGGAATAGATAATATAGTTTTCATGAATTAATGTTAAAAATGATTTTTCCATAGTAACAGGACGTTACCAAAATATTATCGCATTGTATTAAGTAAAATCAAGGTGAATTGATACACTTTTTTTATGGTAGTCTGATCTCATTTTAACACGGATTTTTAAAGTTTGACATACTTCAAATACATGAAGAACATTTTGTCTGTATAATTAATCGTGCTTACTACATTGTTAATGAAACCATGTATCTTTTATATGATACTAGTAATAAGTTAGTAAACAACACAAATCATAAATAATATCAAAATATAACCTATATCAATAACAATAACTATATTACTGTCTGCGTATATAGGTGAACACGATTGACATATGCGTGATGCTTTATATGGTTACAAAAATAAATTACTAAGTAGGTAGTTATTGTTTTCTACTTCTACTATAAATAGAAAAATGCTTGAAAAAGCTACGCGATATCCATAAAACACGCAATAATATAAGGTTCAGAATTATACTATTTAAGTATATTTTTTATTTTTCACGAACAAAAAAAGTTGACCTTATTCTTTTATTAAAAAAAAAACTGAAAAATACATAAAGTGTTATGGTTATTTATGTAATATTAAAAAAAATAGACTATTGTAAGATATTTTGGGGGAAAAAATCATATTCAATTGTATACATTTGCAGTTTACCAAATACCCCTTCCCCCCCATCAAAATGGCGCTGTTGCAAACTGCATAGTATAGGTATTATCTCTAAAATATTATAAATAGTTTATTTCTACGAAATCATGAAAGGTGTGATTTAGTGTGCCACTATTGTAAGTGGGAAGTGGGAAGTAAAAGCAGAATACATAGAGTTATTCAATTTAAATCTGTACGTGATGATGATAAATCATTGCTAAGAAGATAATATACTGAAAAAAGTTCGGTTGTACATATTTAAATGTTAAATTTACACGATTTTTGGGAAAACTTGAACATAAAACACTTATAAAAAAAATTACTACATTATGTGATCAACTTTTATGTTTTTATTACCACTGAGTACAACATATAATGACTTCATGTATAACTTTCAAGCATTTCTATTGGGCCAAGACAATTTTATCCACATAAATCCAAATAAAAACGATAAAACTCGAGAATACCCTATAAATAACTTAAAAGTGTTTAGAATTTGTTGAGAACATTTTTCCCCGTCTAGAAAATATCAATATTAATATTCAGTAAAAGTTTTAGATTTCTATAAATATTTTAAACCGAATTACCAAATAAAAATCAATAATTATGAAGCCGTTGTTTCCGTAAACTTTCCCGTTTTTCCTTTACGTTATTTCCAATTATTAAACACTAAGCTATTACAAAACGAAAAGAAAAATTTAAAAATGACTTTATTAATTATACTAACTAGATCTAAAATTGTACAAAAATGCTCTCTAGTCAGTTTTTTGATTTTCGTAAGAATTCTGGTAAAAAATTTGTTCTCGCACTCACGTTTTAAGAATCGCATTCAGAATCTAAAAATAATAATAATAACAATTATTAGTATTGACGTTATTTACATTATTTAACTTAAATTAAACTATTAAATTATACAAAAGTTGCATACAAATTTTTATCTGTAAAAAAAATCAGAATAACAAATAATATTTACGTGTATTTAGTATAAAAAGAGAATAACAATGTAAAAATAAAAAAAAATACTAAAAAATAAATACAAATTAATATTTATTTGAAAATTTTAAAATTATTATACGTACACGTAATAAAAATATGTACGCAAAACTTAATAAATATGCGAGACGTCTTTTATTTTAAAAATATAATATATTTTTTCTTTTTAACATACAAAGTAACTAAAGTAGGTAGTATTTTTTTTTCTCGTAAAAAAAAATTAATTTGTAATAATTTCACTTGAGTAGCTAGTAGGGAGGTATATTAAAAAAAAAAAAAGAAACTTTTTTCTTTTTCATATCAGAATTCATTAAAAGACATTTTTAATTCCGTGAAAAGTTAATAGAATAAATTTATCGCTCAACATAAAACTCTATTAGATTAAATTCATTGCTACATTAAATACGGCATAATAATAAAATGTCATCATAAAATAATGTTTCGTAAAAAAAGCTTATAAATTACGAAATAAACTCCTAATGAAAAAATAAAAATAGGTAGTCTAATCTTTTCATTTAAAGCGTTGACTAAAGTCAACGCTGCATTAGCATTTATATTTACATGAAATAATATCCTAATATTGACGCGTTCTATCTCGTTTTCTTTAATCTATACATCGATTGCAAAAACAAAATCTCTTATATAGTCTTATTCGACTTTTGTTGCCTCTGCCATTCGATGAGTTATGTAAATTTTCACTACTGATCCTACAGATATTCAACCCTCCTTTCCCCCATCCACCTAAGGGATTTTCTTCATGTTGTATGCTCGGGAATATTCAATGGAAATAAAGGTCACATTATTATTGGCTACGATAGTAGGAAAAATGAGACAAACTGGATTGAGTGGTTTAGGAATGTCATTAAAGAGGAATCTGAAGCAGTAAAAATTGTAATTAAAGTGGACGTTGGAGGAAAGAGGAAGAAAGAAAAATAGGTGGTTGGATGTGATTATGAAAATGATATGTTGATGGTGGGGTTATGTGAGGCAGATGTAAGGAATCAATTCAAGTGAAAGTTTAGAACGGGGTGATCGATCCGGTAATAATTAAATGTATAGCATGATAGGGATGATTTTTCGCTTTTTTTTATATTTTTTGATTTTATAGAAATATATAATTTAACTACACATAATATACTTGTATGAAGGTGAGAGAGTGAGTCGTCAGAAATATCCTTAGCAACGCACATGTATTCGAGGATTGCCGTCACTGAAAAATTTTAAAAAGAAAACAACTCAAATCCAACGTAAATTTATTCTGTGAGTACAGTAACATGTAAGTTCGTTCAGTTATAACCTTATATAGCGTGATCGCCGGGTAAATTTTTAAGTGCGGTATACATATTTTATGTGTTTTAATTTAATAAAAAAAAAAACAACTTTTTTTTTATGGCTATGCAAGACCTGAGTATAGACTAACGGCGCAATATAACGCAACTGTCTAGTATTTGTTTTATTATTTTTTACGACACGATAAAACCTCTTAAATTTCCTCATAAGTGTATGGTACGCCTAATAAAAAAAAAAAAAAAAATAAGAACTGAGACGTTTACATATAATTTATACTAATAATACACCTAATACAGTATGTTTGTTGCATGGAAATCCCCCTGTAATCCATATAATATTTTAAGAACTACATGAGAAAGCTGAGGGGGTGATAATAATACACGAAGAAACGAATATGAACTTTTATAAGAAATAGAAAACGAGATGCTGTTGTCTATAAAAATTATTGTTTGTTGATTTTATGTTTCAATCATCAATTATTGAACATTTGAAAATATTTAGATAAATATTTTTCTGAAACCGACCGATTACTACCTTTTGACTAACCCTTTGAATGAAATTGATTTTAAGCTTTGGAAATATGGCATTTATTATAAACAAAGTATACATATTGTTCCTAATAAGAAAACTATAGGCGAGTTATCATCTTACTTGCTTAATCTAACAATCCACCACTGTATTAGTGTCGACATAACGTATTCGACTAAAAGTCTTACTGTTTTTTAATTTATCGAACAAAAAATTTAAAATATTTCCTAAACACAGAAATACAGGTACCGTAGCACAGGTAGGATAGGTATTATAGGTTATTATAGGTATATCTATAATAATTTAATGCATTCACGGTTGCTGTAACATAAAATGCAATATTATCGTTAAAAGGTACCGATATACATACATTTGTTTTGTACATTTTAGTAGTAATAGTCAAATAAAATTACGAAAAATGTAATTTTCATTTTATATAGTTTAAACAAACTTTTCACTTAAAATATACAACGACGCAGTAAAGTTATTTTACATCACAAAAGACTGGAATTCAGTTAAGACAAAATCAATTTATTCGTTTAGGCGCTATGCAAGCAAACATGTATAATTGAAATAATAATTTTGAATTATACAATTACGACGGATATAATTTCATTTACTTTATTTTATCGGTCTCTTAAATCCCAACCTCCTCAGAATATATACGAAATATTCAGTTGTTTGATTAGCGAAACATTTATTGTTGATAAATGTAAAACTAGGACCGAGATGATATTTAGTTGGAATAATATAATATATTTTGGAAAAAATAATGTATATTTTCTAATTATACAGGCGAATGTAAATGGAAAAAGATTGCATAGAAAAACAAAACAAAATAAAAAAATAAAAATACATATATTGCTCATGGAACGTATCAGCTATAGATGGGAAGTTGGGAAGGTAGGTTTATGATATAGAGCAATAAATTTATATCGGCGATAAATCATCGACAACTGAAAACTATCCTGAGCAAATTTCGGTTAATTGTATTCTGATAAACTTAAATTTAAAATTTTGTAGATATATCGTAACAACAATATAATAAATTATATAACTGCCTGTATATTTTACTCCAAAATGTTCAAGCATTATTATACGAGTAAATGTCATCCACCATAAATCGGAAAATAGTATACACAAAATGCCGCGAATTTACTAACTGAAATTTTTAAAATATATATATATAATCAACACGGACAAAGTATAGGTACAATATTTTGTTTGTGGAAATTTAATCCATAGAAATTGTTACAAGAAAAAAAAAATAAAAATTTCCGTACAATGTGTTTTGGAATGAGGACCGTTATAATAGGTAATCCCGCGGAGACGAATTTATTCGGCTGCTTCCGAATATTGGTTTCTACTATATTATTAAATAATTTCGAAAAAGCGAAATGCGATGTTATAAAATAATTCGGTTTATGGTTTAGTTTGTATGATATTTCCCGTCGTTATATTTATGGACTTATAGTTTATACTGCGTACAGGTTATAATGTTCGAGTGTGTTATAATATATAATCAACAAAGGTTGTAAATAAATAATGGTTTCTCAAAAAATACAGATAGTTACAGTTATAGAAAGATAATACATTATACGAAAAGAGAAGCCATATACCTACAAAGCTTTCCTTAACTACACACAATAAATATTTAGTTTTCATTGAACAGGAACACAATTCATTATAATTACACATTGAACAATTCTATTATAACTGGAGTAAATTAAATTAAACAATTTAGCCATCATATTTGATTCGAAACGTTATTACAATCACGTGGGGTGATTTTTTCATCCCAATATAATTCGTATGTATTCTGTATTCATTAATCAAATAATTTATTTTTATAAAATATATATATATAATAGTAATAATATTATAAAATCAAATCGTCAACATACATTTAAGAGCCATACACATAGGTACTATTATTATAATTTAAGTTGTATGCGAATTGATGTAAATATAATAACGAATGCAATAATGTAATAATATTAATATAATGTAAATAAAACATAAAATTAGATATTTTGTTTACGTGATGTCAAAAGACACTGAACATATTTCTATTAGGTGTTTTTACAAAGAAGTTTTTCAAAGTTAGTGCAACGTTTCTTCGTTTTTCTGTCTCGAACTTATACACAAAAGACACACTGGCCGGACTGGCCAGATACTTTAACCTTTCATGTGTTCCTATTACATAATTTGTAGACTTGCAAGTTGCAATATTGGTTTAGACATATTTTTATTGATCTGGAAAACTCGTTAATTTAATAGCTCGTACTAAGCACTTGCAAACATGTTTTCACGATAATAATTATGCTTTAAAATATTGCTATATTTTTCTACAGTACGCTCCAAGCTCGAATACATAAGTACTTAAAAAATATAAGTGAAATAGCATATTGTATTAATCATTATACCTCTCGAAAATGAAAAATAATATTTTTTTAACAATTTTGTATTTTGCAGAACCCCTCATTATTGTTATGATTTTGCTAATGGTTTGTTTTTAAATTATGCTTTGGAATTATTATTGACATTTTTTTTCTACATAAACAAAAAAATAATGTCGCAAACAGTCCAAAAATTACTGAGCGTTTTAATTTTAAAATTAATCTTCCGAGTAAAATAAATTTTAATTTTACTTACTAAAAATTTCTAAAAACTATATGTGCTTATCTCAGTCGTATACTTTTATGTCTACCACTAATATCCTAACAAATTTTCATTTTTCACTCTTTGAACTAACAAAGATATTAGATGGTGAAAATATTTTATAAAGATGATTTGTGATTATTTATTTATATATTTTCTTTACCCAGTCAGTTATTAAGTTAAATTGTAATTTTCTGTAAATTGGAATTCATTTTTCCGTAATAAATATTATTATTATTTTAGTATACATTACACATGTATATTTGTAGACTGTAGACAGTTCTAATACGTTTGTATAATATTAAAAGGAAAACTTAAATTGATTCTTAAAATAATCTGGGAACCAATTCGAACGTTTTGGAACACTTATAATATCATATAATCAAATACATTTCTAACTGGTGATAACAGACGTGAGTTTTTAATCTGACATTTAATTCGAGGCTCACAAAGCTTGTCATTCATTTTATAATGTGACAACTTATATAAGTATGTAATATGTTTAACAATCATGATGGCAGTGATCGTTTTAACAATGATAAGAAAAAATAAGGATTAGGTTAGGTTATGGGCGTTAGCCATGGGCTTCGAATTAAATAGCCACAGTACGACTTAAACCATAAACGTTTTGGTGATAAGACAGTTAGCAACGTTGTTTATTTATTATAATGCGTTTCGGAATAAATTCTATAACACTATATAACCATTCATAAAATTCTAACCAAATCCAAAATCTTCTTCGAGCTCCGATATCGTCATTGCTATAATAGGTGGTATACTTTTAACGGAAAAACAAAAATAAACGGAGTAGACGATGACATGTATTATGCATAAAATACAATAACATTATAGTCGTTTAAAGTTTATAAGTATATGTACGATAATAATAATAACGGATGCGCCGTCGTTGGTTGTTTAAAGAGAGTAAAATTGTCGGAATATATTATTATTATCATTATTATTATTATACTGTCGTACTACACCGTCGTCGTCGCGAGTTTCTTGATAAATATTTATACGAAACTACTACTACTACAAAAAAAAAAAAAAACCGACCCCCGCGTATTCGCGCTACGGTGTTGTGGCGGTGAAGGAATGATGGTCGTGGAAAGTTTTAGCCTACCGTGTTGTATATTCACGTGGGTATATGGGTTGTAGTAGTATAATAGTAAATATATGGTAGTGAGTTCTTTTCTTTATTTTTTTTTTTATTATTTTTTCCCTCAGTTTTCTATACACGTATTAAAATGCGTTCGGGAGGTAGTACCGGCTAGATATAAAAACGCCCTCGAGAATATTCCCGGGAGATGATTTAGGCGTGCGCGGGTTTTTCGAACGCCGACGCGGGGGCATTGTTCCTTTTGTGTGATTATATAGGCGGCGGCGGCGGCAGAACTTTATAACGTACTTACCCGTATAAATATAATAATAATAACGCGCGTATTGTATACAGGGTGATATTTTTATCGTGACGACTATATGCATGATATATTATCACAGTAAAGTAACTGCGTATACCAAATTACGTAGTTAGATAGAGCGTGAAATCGGCGATAAAAAAAATCATGACCCTGTATAGCTGTGTACAATATAAATGTCGAGAAAAAAAACTACTATGATATTACGCGCCATGATAATTGTAATAATATAGGTGCGACCATCACAAACTAAACAAGTGTGGTCGCCCATCTATTTTCCCTTAACAGAAACAATAAAAATAGTGCTATATAATAAAACTACGATTGTTTTCATTTCAAGCCTGAACAATTTATTTATTTGTTTATCGTATGGCTTATGATACTATTACAGACACGTCTTATTATCAATGCACCAAACTTATGTTAATACAAATTCAAAAAAAACCCTACTTGGTTCAACAGAATAAATCTCTTCAAAGTCTAGGAAACATTTGCTAACCTAGTGATCCCGTATGTTTATTCAGTCATAGATGCGATCGTATAGTTGAGTTTTCGAACAGTTTCTCGGTGTCTCATAAAATATTAGACGCGTTTCAATAATATACGCGACGACGCGTCATCGTTATAACACGCACATACATTATGTTATTAAGCGTACGATGAATATTAAAATTATAATATAAACGTATGATATTAAAACATTACACACAGTAACGAGTTTTAGTGTCGCATTTTCATTAGATAATATTATAGCTAGGTCTGAAATGTATATTAATAATATTATTATAAAGAGACCAAGCTTATTGTCACGCCTCGGATGAAATAGGATTATTTTACGCGTGGAGTTAATCTACATGTGTGCATGAATGTGTGTTTTTTATAATTTTGTAGCATACAGGGTGTGTGTGCAGGATTTGACAATCTCCTATGTAATATACTATTATTATGTGTTGGAAATAATTGTCAAAATATACTACATCTTCAAATACTTCATATTTTTTTAGATTTGTAACGTAGCGAGAGATCTATTGATTTTACTATGATGTGTGGATTAAAAATTGTTTTAACTGAACAACTTTTAATCAGAAGTCTTCAATTTTTCCGTTTTTCAATTTTAGCACTTTTTCGAAAAGAACATCTGATTGGGGTGGTACTTTAAGGGGGTCATTTTTTGATTTTCCCAGGGGTATTCATAATACATGGAAAAAAAACGTAGGAAAACGGGGAAATTTACGAAGTATATTATTTTCAAATCGCAAATATTACGGCCTTTTAAAAAATGAATAACCGTAGGGTTCGTTTTTCGTTAGCAAAGATTAATCGTTACGTACAGATATACATGGAATTTCCTTTAGTTTATTACCTTATCAATTTATTACCTAAAACAATGGCTCACCCATCGCACGAAGTATGTCCGTCTTTTTTTTAATAAACTTAATTATACGGAGTGATTATGAATACAACAATATGTATCTATATGATTTATCTGTCCAATAAGAAATATTTTACCTATGGGTTTTTATATTTTCGAAACTTTAAACAATTTTGTTTTTACTACACTTTAATATGTTTTATGAAATTATAAATGCATTTATTTATACATTTTGAGCTTTTTTTGGGATTTGAAGTACTTTTAAAAAAATATATTTAGTCTACAACTCTAATTAAGTTATTTTTATTTGCGTTAAATCGATTATAATCTTGATTTTTATTTGAAACTTAGTATTTAGCTGTTTTATTTGTTATTTTGCAACTTAAACGAAAATCATATTAAAAAGTAATAAATAAATAATGATCATGATTATGATGAAAATATTTATTTTTTTTTTAATTCTTGTTTTTTTGTTATTACGGGGAGTAATGAGTTGTTAGTTTTGTTATCATATAAAACGTCATACCGCTATTTATATGGCTATATTTGTTAATCGATGAGCGACTTAACATTTTTTCTTTTCATACCAGTTTAAATTTGTATTGAAAAAAAAATGTACATTTATAATCATCGTTAATCGGGGGAAAAAAATACTTAAACTCCAATCTAATAAAAAATAACATTATATTTTCAGAGAATATTTATTTCTGCGAAAGTTAATCGGGTTAATCGCGAGGTTTAATCGATCCAGTCATATAATTAATTATACATGATTAAGTGCATTTTTTTGTTATCCAAATACACAATTCAATCCTTAGTTTATCAATAAAAAAAATAAGAGGTACTTTAAAAGCATAACAAGATACTTTAATATTTTTCGTTGTTTTCCATTTTTGTTTTTTTAGTTTTTTGGGCCCTATAAATCCGGAACTCTAACTATATCCAATTATTAAAATGTATTTAAATAACAGAAACTAAAGCATCTTTTCATAAAATAATATTCTGAATTCACTTTTCTTATCACGGAAACCTTCTAGTTAGGAATATAATAGTTATTTTAATCGGTTTAAGTTGGTCACAATTCCCCACATGGTAATCCACCAAAATGTCTTATTCGCGTCACTCACCGTATACTTATAATCCTTAAAATATGAATATAAATTGGCGTCCTCTAAATGCTCCTTCGTGTATTATAGCACGAGATAGGTTATATAGTTATATAATTATAGCTGGTTATATAGTTTAAGGTAAAGCAGTTAATTAATTTATTCATCTTGTCAACCTTGTAAATAAATTGAAGGCGTATAAAATAATAATATATACTTATACTTATACCTAATCTTATATATACTTACCTGTGCTCATTTCGAAAATATGTATAAGACTACTACAGATTATGCATATTATTATATATTATTCACTTTTATTTTCTATATACCTACAGAGAAAACCCTTACTGAACAAAGTGGCAAAAGAATACAATATAAATGGATTGAGCAGCCACTCGGAGTATTCTTTTGTCCACAACTTTCTAGTTGACTTTGAAGAACAAAAAACCGCGAAGCCTTGGTAGCCACATGCTAAGAGGACCGTGAAATTTTTTTTTACACCATGAATTATGAGATTGGTTATACGTGATAATATGACAAATACCTACTGTTTCTATTAAGTTTGAATGGTTTCTTATACAATATTGTATTGAAAATGAGTAAATCTTTGCTTAATATCATCACTTTATTCGTAGCATAAAGACATTTTTTGTTGGTTAATCAACTACCATAATCTCATAATTCTTACAAGAAACTTTATATTATTGTCGACTATCTAAAGTAGTTGTACATATATCTATATAGTTTATTCCATAATTTTCAATCCACTATGTATCGGTTTTTTCCAGGGCCATTCATTTATATTTATATATATATAAACATATTATTACAAAATATGATTTGTAATTGTTTCTTTTCTGACATTTCGACGTTTGTGTCTGCAATTTCTGAAATTTATTTTAGTTCCACTATGTAAAAATAATATATAATAACAATAAAATTTATCTGACTGTAAATTTTGTGGGATCTGTAATTAATCGACTGTATTTACTTTGGTAATTTTTTTTCGTTTGTTTAAACATGTCAGACCATCCGCAACACCGCACAACACGCGTTATAAGCAGCCCCATCCTCTTTATCTACACCCTCTAACGAAGTGAAGGTCGGCATGCGTAATATTATTTTAAGTTTCAACTCTCAAATATTATTTCAAGTGCTATATTTATATACCTATTATTATGACACAATAGTAAAAAGCATTTGATTATAAAAACAAAATTATAAGTGACGATGGCTTTTCTTTTTTTTTTACCTCTATACTCGAGTATTCGAGTGTTGTTTTGTCGTTGAAGGTTTTCGTCGTGTTAACATCACTTAACATCACTCGCATATACCAAACTTAACGATGTTAAAACAACGAACGACGAGACGGCAAAACAAATATCGTCTTCGTCGCCAACGACCGTATCGAAGGTTGTCTAAGGGACGACGTGCCAGCAATTCGTTCGCTTTTCGAATGAAATAAACTCGTTTGTATTTGTAACATTCGACCGTCTTCTATGTAATACAGTCGTTGTAAATTGGCCGACATTTTTTTTCTCCGAATATAAAGACCGGACACGACTATTCCTACCAAGTTTGCAGACGTAAGACCTATAATAGTTGTCGATTGTTGTGCCCGTCCTTTTTATTACGCCGAGTTATAGTTTTATATAAATCAATCGGAACTTCCTATGGTTGTTATTTAATCGTATTGTAACTGCACGGGACGAGTGAAAAAACGCCGAGTAAGTCGATAATCATTAATAGGTTGTCATATATAATATAACCTTAAAAACTTATAAAATCTATAAAAATGCATTACAAAATTTAAAATTGTATTAATTTTTAAAAAAGAAATTAATTAATCAATTTTACTCAAGTGCTAAGTAGTTTTGAGGGTTCAGTGTTATTATCGATTGAACATAAAGTAAAAATTTGCTGATAAAATAGGAAGGTACTAAAACTAAATAATATATCGCTGTATTTTATTCCACGGATTGGGAATAAGACATAGTACGGAAACTGACATATACCTGTTTATTTATAGACAATTTTGTTATGTGGTTTTCGCCAAAGGGGATATATACCCTACATGACCTTAATTTTAGTAAGGCCATATAAAAGTTATAGCACAGAATAGATGATAAAATAACATTTATTATCTGTAATGTCTGTTTATTCGAATATATAACCAATAACCACGACAACTGCATTTTACGGCTGATTGTTATTTTTATTTGTTATTAAAAATCTATGGATCATTATTTTTCTTAATTTTAAGATATTTGTATAACCATCTCAATTGGTTAACATTGTTAGCCTTCCATAGAAAAACACATATTGATCTCAAAGAAGTTCTTGATAAAAAATCAAAACTAATTATTTTCGCTTCAAAAATAATTTTAAAAAAAAACTGATCTAATTTTGTAAATTAATTAATTAAAATAAAAATCGTATGCATATGAAGCAATCTATTATATTAATAATATAACATGTATTTAAATTGAACGTGTATTCTAATGTTATTGTGGGATATGATGGGAATGCAACCCCCAAGTCTCACTTTGCAAATAATTTATATATCGCCTTCTCCCTGTCAATAGAAATGTCTGAGAACGCCATTACACCTAACGAATAGCAATAGTTAGAAATTCTAAACTTAGATCCGAAGTAACGCAATTACCTACAGAAATGTTTCGTCGTAAACGTGATTAGAATATTATTATTCACACTGCTGTAGTTCTTCGCGGATAAACTTCCAAAGTTACCGTTTAGATATACGGAAATTATTGTCAAAGCGATTTTCAGTATTAAATTTTCATTCTCGTTATCATATTATTATCTATGGGAAATGTACACAGCTTCAATAATAAATATCATTCATATTCACTCGGGTAACGAATAAATATTTGTTATATTTATTCACTTTTTTCACAATACGAATATATAATATTATATTTACAAAGCGAATACATTAAATGTATCCCCTTACTGGGTATGTATTATTTATTGAGTTGACATTAAGTATAACATTATATTATAGGAACGGTCGACCTTGTTTTACATTTTTGGTTAGGTATTAGAAATAAAAAATTTACATTGTTTCGCATTTTTTTAGACCAAAAAACGGTCGTAATGTGTATTATTATTTATTAATTATACTATGCCGACGTGCGTCAATAAAATATTAAAATATAAATACCACTCCGTAAAAACGTATTATTTTTTTATTATATTAGGTCCTTTTGTGGTTGTTATTTTCTGAAGTTTTAAACAAATATGTGTTTCGAAATGAAAAAAAGGCGAAAAGACCTTTTTTTGTGGATGTGGGGGACGCAGTTTTGGAGTTTTATAGGACATTATATTCCCAGCTCTATTTCTATAAGGCAGTGATTTGTAGAAAATACTTTTTTTTTTTTTTAATCTAATTATTGTAAAAATAACCTCCCTATGTGATTGACTTCGGGCCTTGCAAGTTTTTAACCATTTATTTTGCTTTGTTACGACAGGTTCCAATATGCTTGTCTCTTATAACACATTTTTACCGTATTTTTCCGCAACAAAATAATTATAAAAATATATGATTTATCTATACAGTTCAATAAAAAAAAATACTGTGTGTTTGAGTTTATTATTATAATATTATATTTGGTATTTTCAAAGTATTGCGTGTTTGAAATTTAAAAATATTTATTCTGAATTTCAAGTAGGTATACATTCTGTCTATTCTAACCTAAAACCTAAGGGGAATTCAAGTGCCTTTTTTTCAAAATAAAAAAAAGTGTTTTCAACGCATACGGATTAGTTTTTCTTTTTTAAGAAATATTACGGTAAATAAATTAACGGAGCGGCGGAAAATTCAGACATGCAAAAATTACCGAAAACCTCCGCGATTTCATATTAACATTTAAATTAATAGTGAACGTTATATTACCGGCTAACAAATCAAAATGAATCCTTAAAAAATAAAATTCCTACGAATCTAATTTTTCGGTTGCACCGAGAAATGTATTGGTTTTACTATGATGTTTGCTTCTTTTTTTCTGTCTGTAAACAAATTTCCTACCAGAAATTTTTTTAAAAAATATTTTCTGATTTGAATATACACAATGTTTATCACATACATTTTTACCAATATGAAAACTATAATTGTAGCAGCTGTATTAATTTAATTATACACAAGTAACATTTTAAATTATTGATATTATAATACATTTTTACCAATATAAAAAATGTATTTTGATGTTTTGTTTTTATTTTTAATTTGACGGGACTAAGTTAGTATTAAAACATGGACTCAATTAGTATGTACCTAGAAACAACTCGGGATTCAATTTGTCCTAAAAGATTTTATTGGGACTCAGTTCGTATACAGTCGTACGTGGTATGTCCGTATCTCCGTTTTTTCTCGTTCTTTATAGAAGACCACGGTTGTCACACTTTGGATAATATTGTACGTGCATCGCACGTTTACCGCATTATAAAATTAAGAATAATACCGAGTCTGCGCGTAGGTATGCGTTCGAAATCAAAACCTATAAATATTCGCCACGTGTAACACGTGTACATTACTGTAATGTCGTCCGGTGGCCATTTGCAACCGAAAACCGAGTCTCCGTACGTACACTTAAATATTAAAATTTTACGCGCTCAAAAAATCCGCGCCGCAAACGCGTGCATATATACGTGTAACTGTACGCCGTATCCTAAGGGTCAGTTTCGCGTGTATATACAGGATGTCGTACAACGTTATCCGAACGCTATAGTAACTCTGTCGATGTTCATTTTTTTTTTTTTTTCCAATCGGATTTTGTGTCGAGGGAACACGAGTTTTGGAGAGAAATTGAATTTTTATTTTCATCCCTTACAATCGCTGAAAAAAAAAAAATAACTTAAACATTTTCAAAATAGCCATTTTATACAATATTTGCAATGTTATTCGATAAACATTTTAATGTATCATACATTCATAATATCCAGTTCCTCGGTTACAGCGGCTTTGACGTGTATGTAGACGTGAAAACAATTAATATTCAATAGATGACAAGGATAATAAAATTACCGCGCTGATTGTGATTCGGTATCGCGTACCGCGTTCTTCTATTGAACGTTAACTGTTTTCAACGTCAATTTTCTAGGATATTGAAACGGCTGCGACGCAGAAACTATAATACCGATCGAACACGTATTATAAGCAGTACGGCGGACGGGAATATTTAGAATAGTACGTTTATGTAATAAAGTCATGGGGTTGTTTTTTTTTTTTTTTTTTCACCGATCAAGGGACGGAAATGAAAATCGAATCAAATACATTCGTGTACCGCCGATACGAATCCCGATTGAAAAGAAAAACAAAAAGAAAACAAAACGAAAATCGATAGAGTTATCGGCATTCGGATAACAATAAACTCCGGGACGCCCCCCTCCCCCCGTTAACACGTACATTATTGTACGCCGTTGTGCATACCCGCACCGTATACTGTGTACGCGGCCTGTGCGCGCCGCAACGTTACCGAAATTCGTTTTACAAAACGAACGCCGCCGCGCATAACAATAATTACGAAATATGATTACGGCGGTGAGCGGGGCGACCGCGAATTTCCGCGCGACCCCCGGGGCACACACTCCGCCGCCGCCGCCGCCGTCCCTTTCTCGGCGTCCCATTTCCCCCCTCCCCCCCCCCAGACCGTTCGCGCCGCGACCCGTTTAATGCACGCGCGCACGGGTGTGTAGCGCGAGGGGGGGGGGGGCGGCCCGCGAGTATGTTACGTACCCGCACCGCTGTAATGTAAATAATCCGATATTGTCGCCGCGCGGGCGTATTATATCAATTATCGTTGCGGGCGCACCGTCGGCGGAACGCGATTTCGCGGTATACGTGCCCGCCCGCGCGTACGTACGCACCTACGCGCCACTACGCGGTACGCGCGCGATAATTACGGCCGGCGGTAACGCACGCGCGTACCGCGAAAAAACCCCGTGGACTCGCGAACTGCGGTTCCGACCGACAGAGCCGCCGCCCGCGCGGTTACCGCGGTCCCGTCCCGTACGGCACCGAAAACACCGTGATCGCGACGCCGCGTCCGCTGCGACGACGATAGTAAACGATAACGGCGCGTATACTCTGTTGTGCCGACGCGGCGCCGTGGTGTCCGATTGATTCGTTCGCTGCTACCGCGTCGGCCGAATTATAATTCCGCCGCATCCGCACGCCGCGGGTGCGCCTGCGCGGCCCTTGGCGCGACGTTGTTGTTATTATTATTATTATTGCGACGGCGATCCGTGAGAATAAACAGCATACGCGAAATGGAAATAAATTGAAAAAAGCCACTACTGTATGTCTGTACCCATCACATATAATACCGCTCTTACGGACAGCCAACGAGTGTATAATACGTGCACGCGATGATGGGAGCGGTGGGCGGGTGCGCGGCCGAAACGTCGTTTGACAGACCGATTTCGTTTCGTGTTTTTTTTTTTTTTTTTCTATATAGGTTTTTCATTATTATTATTGTTGTTGTTGTTGTTGTTGTTACCGCGTTGTATTTGTTGTTAGATCGAAAAAATCCGATTTCGAAACTGTCGCGACTCCCGATGGCTACGGTAAATATTTCTCTGAGAAAATAAAAACCACCTATCTGTGTAGCGTTCTATAAAACAAACAAACAAAAAACCAAAACAAAAAAAAACTCCGTACGAAAAATAATCTACGTACCGACCGGTATTATTTTTAGCGGGCGTATCATCCTATAAATATTATTATTACCGGTTGACTTCGAAAATCTTCTATCGCGTATTTTTCCTAATAATAATCGTTATCCGGGCTCGGTTCTCGAGGAGTTCGCATTATTTCACTACAATTATTATTATTATATTATACATACCTCTTATATTCATACTGGTAAAAATCCGTGTTGTGAAACGCCAACTACGCCTAAAATTCCGAAAATTTCAATCGAACAACATGCCGTATGTTTTCTTTTCAGTTTAGTGTGGTAACTTCGTATAATTACGCTTATGAAAATATTTTTTATCGGATATTATGTTTACTGGGAAATTGTAAGAATCCGGAATATAATATATTCTAAATTCCGAATCTAAAACATAGGTCCGAAGTCTTCTATGCGGAAAAATCGTAAATAACGGTTTAGAAATGACTGCTTTAATTTTATCGAAATGGCCAAGTTATTTATTTCTAATATTTAAGCTTTTTATATATATATATATATATATTACATATAATTTGTATAATTTTTAAAAAAAAAGCTGACTTATAACTCGATTTTGAACTTTTTGATAGGTCTCTGTCCGGTTTCGGTCATACACAATCGACACTACCATCATATTATTGTTTATTGTATTCGGCTTTTCCGTACCTTCCTATAGTAATTTATTATCATATACATACGTGTTGTACGGTTTTGAATAATTGCTCGCGATTAGTTTGCGGATATTAACACTATAACATCGTGTTGTATTCCCAAAATCATGATATTTTACATACGACGTTAACCCACGGTGTAATATATTATTATCATAATACGAATATTACACCGACACCGGGGAATGATTAGTAAAACGATATACCGTCATTAATCATTACGGTATCGGTCGTTATTATTTACTATTATTATTATTATATTCGCGACGTATGCTATTATTATGAGGTACAATATTAATATCGTATACATTTTATGATGTGCGGGGTACAAGCCCGCGGAGATATTCGACTGGATCAAGTCAAATCGAATAAACGAAAAAAATCAGAAAAACAGTACAATTTAATTCGACTCCTCGGGCCGAATAGTTACACAGCCTGTTCCGTTGTTTTCAGTTGAATGTACAATGCGTGGTTTTTTTTTTTTTTTTTTTTTGAGGGGTGGAGGGTGTAAGGGGGCAGTGACTTAACCAGAGAGAATGGGTGTTATAACCTCTCAACATTTTGGATATTACGTAATGCGTGTATTACATAACGTGCATTGCAATTACGGACATTTCATTGTAATTTTGAATACGCGCGCGTACGATACGTAATATGATGTATGGTATAGTAACCGTATTTACCTACTTGTAAATTATGCGCCTACAAAACCGATCATGTTCAATAATGTCCAATAGGTAGCTCGACAGGTTTGGTACAATATTATAAACGTTAGGGGACAACTGGCCCGATCTGGCCGATCGCAAATTTATTGCGATTTTTTTTTTTTTTTTTTTTTTTAGGAGGGGGAGGTGAGATTTTTCCGTTCGTTTGTATGATAATACTTTGTCTCATTTAATACGATCGCGATCCACAAAAATAACAAACTAATGTATGCCGGTTTGGCAAATTTCTTGTTGTTAACAATATCATTCTTTGGTTCTAGCATCGATTATGTATAAATATATATGATATTATTATGTATAATCAATGGTCCTAAAGAAAAAGAGCTCAAATACATTGCAGATGAAAATTTGAAAAATACACACATATATGCAATTTAGAACAAAAAATAAAAGAAAAGAAATTACATTGGACAAAAAAATGTCAACAATTTACTTGAGCCCATTTTTTTCCCGGAACCAAAAAATTGTCAAACTAAACATAGATATGTTTAATTATGATCGGGACTTTTTATTCAGTGATGATAAAAGTTAAAATGCGAAACAAAAGAAAAACTGTAATAAAACCGTCAACAAGTAGAATTTACATGTATACGTACATAATAATGTGAAAACTTAACTACCGTATTGTAGAGTGTACAATTTTTCAAACATTTGACGTACGGTTCGAGAATACTTACCGAATACACACACTATATGGATACGATACATTCCTGTAGAATACTATATAATATATAGAAGTAGGTTAAATTATTATTATTACAAAAATATTATAACACCTATTCCGATGACAGAAAAAGAACGTATAAATTTGATTTGAAACCGCGAGGTGTGTTTTATAATATTATATTTGGATACCAATTTTGTTTTATTTTCTCGTAGCTGTCGACGGTAATACGATATTTTCTGGCTTATTCTACACTATATTATAATACCAAATATCTGTCAATATTTTAGTAAATTCTGTTGGTACAACGACATTCATCGTTCACACTTTGAAAAATCTAATTTCCTCCGAGAACGGTGAAAATAAATTAAACCCAACCCATATCCGGAATACTTGCAGCGACGATATTTTCACAAGCACGGTAGATCTGAAATTTAATAGTTTCAACAAAACAAAAATAAATAGCTATATTATATTATTGTAATCATTTTTCCACGTTTATAACTACGATATTTTTATTTCTCGCAGAGTTCAAAAATATAATATTTTTAACCGCGAATCAATCCAAATAGTATTTCAAGGATGCCCCCAACGAGCAATGCTGTAAATTATTCGAATGAAAATGTATTCAAAGAAAAATATTTTAATGCTTTTTTGTGTTCGAATATTATTTTAAATACATTTAAAAATTTATAAAACCTTTATGAGAGTTTTATTGAAAAAAAATTGTCTGTAATTAAATTTAAAATAGAATTATATAACTAACCGTCACAATATTTACAATAAAAAAAAAAAAAATGCCTTGGGGGAATTAAACATGCATATCCTCACTCTCGGGTAAACGCCCTTGTTCTGAAAGGGTTTGAAATATATTAAAATACGTATTCCGAATGCAAAATAAAAGTATTCTTTACAGTATTGTAAGACTGCTAATGGGTTGTGACTTGTGAATAAGTGATCACTAAACCAATTCTGCACCGGGACAATTCATAATAGCGGTCCTGATGGATTAGTTTCATGTTAGTTACGTTATGGTATACAAAATTACTTTTTACATCTCGGGTTAAAACATTGACTTCAATACGATTGAGAACGTTCGACCTTTTTTAGCGCATGAGAACATCGAGAACACTTGAAATGGAAAAATGAAACAGCCGCTGACCCACAAAAAAATCAGTACTATTGACGACGAAATTGTGTACAACGTTGCCGAACTATATTCAAGTCAAAACTCATAAATAAATTATGAAAAACGTATGCAAAATATATAATAAAACTGTATTTGTGTGAGTTTAAAACAATTCAATTTCCACCACGTTCAGAGGATTTATGTCTTGGTTTTTTTCCATTTTATTTAAGTATTAACGTAAAATATTTCGCACATAAAACGCATAATACTGGAAACCACGTACTGAGTATTCACTAATACGTATATATTGATTATTCGTTGCAAACAATTCGTTACCTATCGTTGTATTTACATTGATAATCATTATTGATGGATTCAGTAATATGCCATCTCAAACAACAAAAGGTAATCATTGAAATCGACTACGATACAAGAAATACATATGTATATATTTTTTATTGGTTGAATTTTCAAATTACTACATATTTGACAACGTCGCGTGGAATTATAAAAACCGAGCGTTCTCAATCGTAATAGTCAAAAGGGTCTAAAAAAGTCATCGACGATAATGACCGTTCTCAGTCGTATTTCTGCCAAAATAATTATAATAGCCATATTGCATAATATCGTCGTATTGTAAATGTTTATCTTTACTCGTTGGGCATCTACACATCTTCAATTCGTGTTTTAAGTTCACCGTTAACGTGATAATATGCGCGTATATATGTTAGTCTTGTTATTTTTTGCATATTAATTCAAAATTATTATTACGACATTCTAATATATTATTCGTCAGACAGAACACGTTGATGATTTATAAATATGGATTCGGGTATTTTTTTATTATTATTATTATTTTTTTTTTTTTTTTTTTTTTTTAGTTTTTGCGTTTCCAACGGTTACGTTTTGTGTTTTAGTATTCATGGGGTGACTCAAACGGCAAAATGTACGTACAACCGCATATACTATTTCGAGTATTATACAGACAAAGTATCGTCTATGTATCATCGTTTATACAAAATGTGTTTCTGGCTTGAATCAACAATGTGTGCGAAAATTCCACGTCGCTCACAGATTGAAACAAATATATTATTTCGGTACTAACCCCCGAAACGTTCGTATGACGGTATATAATTTTTCAACGTGCCGTACCTACCACTTTTCTTGTTTTTTTTTTTCATCTCTAGTTTTCCGAGCGCGTGCAATACGTATTAATAACAGTGAGTTATAACACGTTACTGATTTTACTTTTTGGCCGCATCGTTAAAACTCGTCAAGCACATAATAACGTAAAGGAACCTATAGTTAATACCATGCGATTGATTTTATATTTTCTTTTATATTCGTTCTATATACCGAAAGTACCGAGTGGAAGAAAACTGTTATAAGTACCTACTTGTATTTTTCACATAACAAAATTATTCTAAAAATTAATAATGCACTTTTGACTAACACTTATGTTATTTTAAATGGTATTCTACTTAAATCCAGAACTATTAATACGTTCAAAACACTTTTTTGACAACTAAAAAAAATTATGGGAAAAACTGTAGTTAAAACAAAAAAAAAAATCAGTTTTGCGAAACGATTTCATTTATATAAATATTTACTGAAATAAAATGAAATGTAATATAAAAAACGAAAATTAATTTGTACACCTGCTTACTTATTAATACTAATGTATGCATAAAACATAATCATAGTATTTTGAAAAAAAAAGCTTTTAAATAAAATATTAAAAAAAGAAATCTTGTTTACATTTCAAATGAAAAAATAATATAATGTATTAACTCATTTTAATTGGATTATGCTGCGACCAGAGTAGGCACGTATATTGTTTTAAATAATTCAAAAAATAGTAAATTGTTCGGATATTAACCAACTTGGAGTTAATTGCGTTAAAATATTGTAAAATTGCTAAGGAAGAAAGAAAAAAAAAAGTATTCGAGTAAGTATATATAAAGCCTTCCGGCAGTGCGAAATAATGAACGAACAAAAAAATTACCCATCCGGGTTTTTTCCAAAGTCAAGTTTAATCAAACAGATACATTTATTTTTGTAAAATAACAAATACAAGACGTTAGCTATACATAGTATATGATATACCTAAACCATTTTTATAGACCCACTGTATAGTGTTTAAAAGTAGAATATAGAACAAAAACCACGTATGTAAGCTTGAGCTTAAATAAAATATGAACTTCTGTTCCTGTTATTATTTTTCATTTTTTTTTTTTTCACTTACATCAGCAACTATTTTCGACCGCCGTCGCAGAACAATGTCGGATTTCGCATTAGTGACCAGCCAAGCGCAACGAATCCGTATAGCCTATGTGGATGCTGCGATATTAATATTTAAATATTATTATACTCGTATATCGGAACGTACTGTGGCTACGATTTCCATAACGACAATACGGATATATTTCTCGCGGATATTAAAAAAAACCCAACGACCTACGGCGCGGTGGTATTCGTTTCGAATCTCGATGCGTGCTACAACGGCCTGTAGATGTTTTGTTTATTGTGTTTTTATATTGACTCTAGTCGTGTATACGCATAATAATCTAGGAGAAAAAAAAATCAAATGCATAAGGGAAATATTACCATTTTAGTTCGTGTATATGTACGCATATAATAATAATATATTGAAATCTCACGACTCGGAAACCGGACATGAATACTAATGCTCCGAAGGTATATAAAGCCTTCCGGCAGTGCGAAATAATGAACGAACGAAAAAATTATGTGAAATATTATAATATACCGTTTCGAGGGCAGTTAAGTTGTATATGTACAGTTTTGAGTATTAAATAGGGGGTTCACCGAAGCACAAGGAGATACGCAAAAAAATATACGATAGGGGTGGTTAGAAATAATTTTCAACTCAAAGGACGAGCGGTTTTACGCTTGGAAATAAATATTAGGTACCTACTGCAGATATAGATTGCACTTTGCACTTTGAAATTCTTTCGGTCTTTGGCTTTTTACATAGAGAATATTCGTTTTCGCGCCGATTTCATAATTACATCAGTAATAATATTCCCGTACACGTAAACTTTTTTTCTTCATATCTCTTTGAAACTCGAATTATCCGTTTATACTCACGTCTACACCCGACACTAAAATATTCAATTCTTGCAAGTCGTTGTTGTTCTTGTTAATATTTAAGTACATACTTTATTTCAAAACTTTAACTGCCTTTTTCTCTTAATTTGTATTTATGTACATTCGCCAAGCACGAAAGTTTCCACATTTCATTATGAATTACAATATTATTATAGTTACAGACTTATCTACCGTTGGTTTTTTTCCTCTTTTTAACTCTTAAAAATATACTCTCTTTGTCTCGCTATTATAACTACATTTTGAAACACGTTTAAATATTATTATTTATTTCAGCATTCCCGGTTTTATTTTTTTGCTTTAACATCGAGCTGAATATAATTTTATTTTTCTCGTCCTCTGATCTATAACATTATTTAGTATAGCATAATACCCTATATTTTTGTACACACATTTTTACAGAATTTGAATGAAATTGCTTAAATAAATACCTACATTTTTATTTGTTTGAGATTAATTCTTTATACATGATCAAAAAGTTTGGATGAAAAAAAATAAAACAGGGAATTACAGGTATTACATTCAAAAAAAAAATGTTCAGATCAAAAAAAGACTACAGCGTTGGGCTTACAAGGCGTGTATGGAGAAGCCAAAATCCACTAGGTACACTATATACTATACCTACTATACTATACGAGCTGACAGTGGCGCACCCAAGATGTTAAGAGGGGGGGGGGGGGTTATTAAATTGAAGAAAAATTGACGTTTTCTTTTTTCAAACGTTTTTGAAAAAAAAAAAAGTTTTACAAAATACATAATTGTGAAATTCAGTTTATACTTAGTTGAATAAGTAGTGCATATTTCCATATTAATATGCAATTTATTAGTGATAATTTGTAAATCCTGAATAGTTTTTATTGTTATTTTTCGTATTCGACACAATAAATGGAGGGAGGGCGAAACTTCCTTAATCTTTTTCCAAAGTACACCAATGCGGACAATGCTAAAACAGAACCCAACGGGAAAAATACTTTTAGGAAAGCCGAGAATGAGCACATAAAACGTAATAAAAAATACGGACATACTTCGAATCATAATGGATGGGCTACTATTGTAGGTAAGAAGTTGGAAAGTTAGAGAGTAAATTTAATGTATTTGCAATATACTTAAAAATTGAAGCAAAATTTCTAGTAGAAAAATTGCTCACAGAAAAAAGAAATAGACATCGTTGTAAAACCAATAAGAACGTGAAAACGTTTAGGGGTGGATCAAATTTAAAATTGTTTTCCACGGATATAAATAGCTGGATAATTGGTTGTAAGACATATCTCAGTCCTATAGAGGCCGAATAAACCCAAACAATACCTATTAATACCGTAACGTTCTAAGAAGCTTATTGTGGCAGATTAACCTGTTCTACTGTATTATTCGAATTCCACAGAAGCTATACAATATGATTGTAAGATACTTTAGTTAAACCGCATGCGACGCGACGCAATAATAGTCGTTATACAAATGGTCAAACGGTTTTGTTTCCAACGAGTTCCCGTTGTTCAGTTATCAAAAGAGCCACTTAAACTGAGCGACAATATCTTCTAGACATAGATATATATAATCCCCTCTCCGAACCGCTTAAATTAAGATCATTTTAATCTTAGTTATTATTATTATTGTATTTTATTTTTTTTAGCCAATTTACCATGGTAAGTTTATTATTTCCAATCCATCCATCTTTAATCCTACAATTCATCTTCTAGTTTTCATCCCATACTAATATTTATCGCATAAAGTTTAAACCACAACAAAATTAACATTTTTATTTTCGGTTAAAAAAAATATATAAATGTATATATATATATATATATATATATATATATATAAATGTATATATATATATATATATATATAATAAAGGTATAAAATAGAGAAATTGTTATGCTTATGACGTAAAATTCAAGTGATTATTACTAGGCAGAACAAATTTTTAGAATATTGAACAGAACAAATGTTAATGCATCATTTGTCAGATCTCCGTGGAAAACCATGTGTATATTTTTTTAAAATATTCGTACACTGTCGACTCATCAAAATCCATTATCCCTTTTGGTTTTTACCGCTATAGTTTGTAATTAACTTTTCGCGTCATTAATATTGATAGTAGATATGCGGACCTAATTTATTAGTCACTATATATAGACAGTCGTAGATTCTCTGCTACATCACCGATGAAATTTCCGTCAATCCACTGGACATTCACATAATTTATACAATATTAATATTCGGTCGAAATTTCCCTGGACGTTTTACGTATTACATATTTATAGTGTTTCGAATAATACATTTTTCCGATCCTTCCCATTCACCCTCACATATTACCCAAGTCTATAAATCGTTCGTTTTTATCATCGGTGATAAAATACGAAATAGAACACGATAAAACACACGATAAATTTAAAAAAAAACTACCCTTCGATAGTTTTTTCGTCTTGAAAATACTCATCTTCTCCCTTTACGTTTTCTTTTTTTTCAAAATTAAAAATATTATTACAAACGTATACAAATTGGTTTTTTTCTATGTTTTTCAATATTGTAAGCTTTACATTAAACATTTTAATAATAAATAATAATAATTTTGAACATTCGGTCGAATCATTATGTATTCTCGAATAATCATAATTAACTCTTTTAAATTAATTGAGCGACTTATCTCTTTCAGTGCAAAAAAAAAAAAAAAAAACAACATCTTGCCGTTACTTTTATAGGTATTTAAGTATTGTAATATTTCGGACATTTAATTGGATATTGTTTTTTTTTTTTTGCAAATAATTTCGATTGGAAAGTCACAATTAATGTTTCATATTATTTGTGAAATGTGTACTAAAAGTAATCGCATTCTAATGGGAATGTATTAAGATTTGAATAGTCCATTAACTTCGAATATAACTAAAACGCTATTCCCACCTTGAAGTATATTATATTATTTTTAATTAATTGTGTCAATCTACAACGAAGCTTTCAAAATTTGTAATAATTAACATTCAATTCTGAATTGAACGAAGAAATTGCTTGAATTGAAAGTTTTTTTTCTTCTTCTCGGAAAACACGTTTTTGTTTAAACAAATGTTGAGATTCGTTCGTAAAATATCTAAGTACATTGAAAAATGCGTGCATTTTCGCCCGGTGGAACTTTATTTGAAACCTTTAGTGAGATTTTCGGCATTTTACCCCCTAGGTCCTTTTTTCGTTGTTATTTAATTTTTGTTGGTTACTCGATTACAATAAGGGGGACAAAACGACTAATACTTCGCCTTTCAGAATCGTTTTTTTTCGTTTTAAATCATTGTTCGTTGCATACTCTGTATACCCGTCACTTGTTTTTCACTAACAGTGTCAATTTTTATATTTATATTATAATGTATATAATGAGACATAGGTAATATAACAACCGTGAATCGAATTTTAACTATACCACGACAAACACTTTGTTTTAATTTATAATTGTACACAAAACCAATAATTCATTGCTAACGAAATACAATCAATAAAATCAAGTCAGCTCAATGCATCGACTAGATAGTATGATTTGCATTCAAAAAAATATGTAATACACGTGTAAAGATGTTAACAGACAAAAAATAAATAAAATACAAATAAACCCATTAGAGTAAAAACAATAAGTTTCAGAATCTAAAAAACATTATTTTTGAATATTGATAATGTGTAGGTATTTATTTAGGTATATTATATTATTAAACATACACCCGCTATTGTTAATCAAATCGTATCGAACATTTTGACAATGTTTATTGCTAGAATACTTATTAATTTTTTATTTATAAAAGTCCGTAGACAACTGCAAAAAACACATATTATATAAGTATATTGCGTAAAATTAATTCGTAATATTTTTTTTTTTAAAAGCTTTATACTTAAATTATTATTTATTATATTAGACTACGATAAACTTTCGACGTAGGTCGTTACTATGATGCAATTTAATTAGATTTCTTTCGCGTTTTTTTAATATTACTGGAAACATTATTATTCTCGTTTATCATTATATGATATTAAAATAAAAAACGGTAAGTAATAATAATGCGCGTAATATATTATTATATTAATATTATATATAAATTCTGTTTTACAAAATTATTATCAACACGTTGAAATTACAAAAAAAATTATATACTTTCCGACGCATAATATCATTATTATACTATAATCATACTTATATTATCATTAAGATAGAAGAAATAACGGTCGTAATATTGGTTATCTAACAACTATTAGACAAGTACATAGTACGTATTTATGATTTCAAATTTTAAATTGTATTTCAAATTTGTATACATACCTAGGTTTTATGAACATTGAATTCCGATTATTTTATTTCGTTTTGTCCTTGTTTACACTGAACGATAATAATAATTGGGCTGCTAGGTATAATTTCACAAAAAAATAATAATATTAATAATATACCGAAACGCACGTATATGTTTTAGAGTCAGAGCTAATACAATTCTCCCGGTTACAATTACGGTTGGAAAGGAAAACCATACGACTTTAATCGGTTAAACGACCTAGGCTCCGTTCAAAATCGTTTTTTGAACATAACGATTGATTGTTAAAACGTTTATAGTATTTTTTTTTTCTTACCAAATTACCCGACATCGTTGTAAAAAGGCTCGATGTAAAGTGAGCATATCTGGGGGTTTAATTTTTAGTATAATTTTTCATTGGAAAAAAAGGCATTCAAAATTAACATAATTAATTTGATTAAAAAAAATTAAAAATCGATCCTATGCACCGGAAAAATGTATACTCTATAGTACAGTCTATAATAACGATAAAACCTTTTATTTTTAAATTAACGCCGTTATTTCTTTTTCATATAGTACGGTTATAAACTGCAGTATTAAATAACGGTAAAATATATGATGATATGACACAATTATAACTTCCCTATAATAACAACTGATATAACGAGCGAAAATTTTGAAATAAACAAATATGTATAGATAACACCATAATATATTTTATAATACCATATATTTCGAACCGTGGATATTATCATATTATATAAAACGATAACATAATAATATAAAAACGCAATAAAAACCGTTTAATTAACTACTATATATTATCGGTTCGATCGTTAAAAAAAAAAAAAATGCGTCTAAAATGCTTTAACGGGTTATTGGTTAGTATGACCAGACGAGTGTTGTGCAAAGACGATAGATTAATAACATTTCTAGATAAAAATAAGCATAGGAGTTATACCGCTAGAAACATGATATGTGGCTGAATAAGTATTTTAAAGATTCCGAACGGTTCTATATTTTGTTTTTTAAATTTTAATATTTTTGGAGAGCATGGTGCATCCGTTAAAAACATAAAATACATACCTATTAAGAAAATTTATATATCTGTACGGAACTCAACACACGGTTAATATTTACACTGTTCGTTCCTGTCGATAATATTTTCGAAAAACTACAAATATTATGCGTTCAATTACATTTGCGCATATTATACTCTCGATATAAACACAATTGTTATTACAGCTATACATAATATATAATATGCTCAATATAACTCAATCATTGTATTATAACATCCAATAATTTTCACGCGTTGTGTTTTGTTTTATGGTAGGTTTTTTGTTTATCGTCTGCTGCAGCTAAACCCCCCGAGAGCAAAATAAAATTGATGTATGTAATCGACAACAACGTAAAACGCAATATCCGCGATAAAATTCAATATAAAATCCAAACTGCGTCGTTCTATCATTTTTTTTTTCTTATACACAGGAAAAAAACATATTATACTATTCATGCACTGTATACGGACATAAGTTCGAAAATAGAAAACAAAATGATGTACTTACCATGCATATACGCAGAACAATATTTGAATATAATATATGAGTATCACATGTACAGTGTATAATATATACCTACATTTAAAAACATCACTGTATCATTTCGAGAATTTCGCGCGGAGACCTTTGCGCCGTACAATACGCACACATAATAATATTAGGAATACTTTTCGTATCCACATAAATCACAAAATAATCTAATTTTATGTACACCCTATATTATATACGTACAGAGAAACCTTCTCCGGTGTCTCGCCCGGCGAACAAAACACATTATGTTATATATTATGTGTTATCGTAATAATTTAACAAAGGCGAGTAAGTAATGCGTTAGTGGTGTAGGGAAAAATATATACTTACGGTTTAATACGTTACAATAATTTACAATATTCAATGCGCGTATACAAGTCGACGGGACATATTTTTAAAACTCGAGAGAAGACTGCCAATGATTCTCACTGATGTGTTTCAGTGGCGTTAACAATAATATATTTACAAACGACCGACCAAAAGTGTTAGAGGTACATCATTAAACAAATTTGAATACACACGAGACATATTGTTTTATATTAATTCGGTATGATTTCAGAATAATAAAATAAATATCTTAATCCGCGGCAAAGGAAGCCAGTAAAAAAACATTTCGGTAAATGGCCAGGTATAACCGCACAAATTTATCCCCGTAATATTTAACACCCAACCAATACAATTTCTCTAGTGAACATTTATCCCCTCCCTCCGTGATTAAATTTCTCAATAGTGAATTTATTGAATAATATTTGTGATAGGTAAATCATGTTAAAAACACCGAAAAATACAAATAAAAAAATAAACGATACGCGTATTACATAACTATCGCTTTTATTTATTACGTTTTCTATTCGTGTTTGTCCGCACAACTATACTGCAACAAATAGTGTAAACATTTTTATAACATTACAATATTCCGTCTTTAGCGCCTTTCGTTATGCGACAGAAGCTTCCTTTAATAATTTAATAATTAGTCATTGTGTTCCCGGAGCACAAAAGGTTTTTAGTCTGTATAAAATAATAATAATAGAGGAACAAGAAAAGGTTATGACATAACGTAAAATTAATAGTGTTCTCGTTCGTATAAAATATAATTCTTATTGTATATTGTACACGACTATCATAACGATTTTAAAAATTATGAAATATAAAATATATGTATTTAGAATTTCACCTTTCCTTCCCATCAATAATTATTTAAAAAGTACCTAATAAGGACAAAGTTTTTGAAAGCATATGTGCGGAGTGTGGCTTCAAATAGCTTGACACATTGGACGGAAGAGATTAGGAAAACTAATGATTTTTGAACATGTGATATGACACTTAAGATTCAACAGACAGAAAAATTAAAAACCTGCAAAACCCTAGAACATTGTTATTAAAGTTAGAAAAGAAAAGGACGAAATAATAATAGGGCATCTACCTTGCGGCCTGCATAACAATATATTTGACAAAAAGCAGCAAAACTAGAAGAGCATATTGAAATCGACATGCAATGGACTGAGTGAATGGTATAACACATTACAATAGACCCAAATAAGGATAATTACAAGAATTTAAAGATATTAGTTAAGACGTTATAACGAAAGGAAGGAATGGATGATGAAAATTTAGAATAAATCGATTGGTTGAAAACGAGAAGAAGAATATATTATGTATAGCCATGACAAATAATTATTGTTGTGATACTTTAAAATAATTAATTGGTTATTTGTCATTTTATGAAATACTTGATTTTGAGTTATTAATTATTAACCAGGCATATATTAGGGTTGAATTTTTTTATATATTTTATCATCAATTTATCAATAAATATACCTATAATGTTTTTAACTGATATTAAGTGATTTATACTAAAATTATATTTAAAATTGTTTTATTTTAGGGATTAAATAAATGATGGCCATTGGTTAAAAACGTGCCTTGATATTTAGAGTGTGAAAAGGAAGACTCAAAAAAGTTATAAAGCATTAACTAAATTTCACTGTACATTTAAAGGTAAGATAATTTCTTTACGTAACTACCTATAATTAATTGTATTAAATATAATTATAATTGTGATTATAATTATTCTCTAGTGATTTATATAGTATACATATTTTACCGTTGCATCTATTATAATATTAAGAATAATTTTAATCCATTATTGATTTAGTTTTTAACTCAACAGTTATGTGTACTTAATTTTTATTTTTAAAAAATCAAAAAAAAAGACAATACATTGGTTTTATTTTTGTTGATTTCTGGATTATCTTGAGTACAATGTAAAAAACATGACTATGATAGTGCTAATGAAGCTTACCAGTTTATAAAGCTCTACTCAGAACCGTTTTAGATTGCAATGAATTATCATTACTTTCAACATATAGATTAAATTTCTCAACACTATATCCTATATGCCTTCCTAATTTCCCACGTACAACAGCCGCCTACCCATGGTGCGAAATTATGTCGATTTCTTTTTCTAACCTTAGAACATTAGATGTTAATATTTTAAAATACTACGATTTTGAAATATTATTTTAAATAATGTATTATGTATAACTATTCAATGTTTGTATCGTAAAAGAAAAATGTCTTTAAAACAAAATGTTAAAGGTAATAATATAGGTACCTATATTATTCACTTGTTTCCTTTTAACTAGGTACTAAAATTAAAATATCAGGAAAAAAATAAACATTTGAATTTACTAAGGATCGACCAATTATAAATAACGAAGAGCCACAGGATACTAGATAATAAGATGATGGATGCGGCTTTTTTATATTATAGGTACGGGTAATCGGTTAGTATTGTTAAAATTCTTTCATACGAGAATGTTAAATAAATATATATATAAAAGTAGTACAAATACTACCACAGAATCAAATCTACAAGGAAATAGCGTATTTATAAAGACGCGGAAGAAAATATCTCGGTATACATAGCAAGAAAGGAAATTGTGACTCGTTATGATTTCCTGACTGTTTTTTTTTTTTTATTACACACACACACACACACACATTCATTTTTTGACAAAATACCGTCGACTTTTATATTATACATTGCTAAAACTCAGAACACATTTTTTGTACTCATAATACAAAATACTCATATCCTATAAATCACGCAGGTAATTTCAGGATAATTTCAGGTAGAAAACATAGTTCATGAAAATTAAAAACAATGAAATCGTTAATACGCATGCCGCTGCGTATCATAAATATTTGCGATTTGTCCTACAATTTTTCTTTCCACTTTCCAACTACTCATAAATCCATGATACTTTTAAAAGTTCAATTTTCAGCTGTGAAATAGTCAAAATAACTAGGCGAAAATCGAACCAGGAATTCAGAAAGTGGACATAATAAGAATAAATCCTTATGATGCTTATTTTTAAGATTAAGATTATTCTGATACATTTATTGATATTTAAAATGATTTGCATAGTGTAAATATCATTAAAATCAGACATTTGTACCAAGAGTAGGGGTCACGCGATAACCAAATTACCTATATAAGACATTTCTATTCCAAAATATAAAAACAACTTTTTTTATCGTATAATATTATGGTCAATGCACAAAAGCACTAAAGCAGGTTAGGTTAGGTATTCGATTTTCAACTTTTTACAGAAAAAAATAGTTTCAAACTCGATTTAGTGGTGAATATTACGGTACCTAAATTATTATTTTCAATTCAAACGCAAAAGTATAATATTATTATCATATTCGAAATATTATATTCTTAATGGAATTCAAAGTTTAAAACACTTTGACACTTTGTTTCAACGGCTCATTTTGTCTTTCTGGGAATCAAACAGAGGGATTCGATAAAGGTCTTCTTAATGTATGGGATTTATGTAATTACGTAACTTTTTAAGCACGTTTATAACGCCATAAATTACTGACTAAAAATTAATGACAATAAATAAAATAAAAAACGTTGTCGTAAAACTCGTACTGCTCCGCTCGGAATAATTTTAACATTTCATTTTTTTTTTTCTTAATTTTTTGTAGTTTGAAAAAGTTATTTGTTCTGTGTACGAAACTTTAACCTTCAATGTATGTTTAAAATAATTATTAACATTCTGACTCGTTAACATACGCTTAAAACATAAAATGAAATTATGGCAAGTAAATTAAATATGATTACGCAAGACAACGCGTACCTTATGACAACTTGTAAAAAAAAATTAACTAAATATTTTATACTGTATGCAAAACATTTATTATAATACGGTGTTTGTCGTCAAATACATTTTTTTTTTTCTATTTATGTATTCTACAATGAACAAAACAACTAAACTTTTGATAAATCGGAGTAATTGATAAATTAAAATTATTATGTTTACTTACTTTTTTTTTATGAAAAATCAAATTTGCATGTTATTTATTTATTGTACATTGAATAGTGATAAAATTTTCTAAAATATCGTAAATAAAATCATTCAAACGACGTGTAAAATATGATAGAATCAGATTTACTCAAAATGTTCATAGATAACCGTGAGTTCGTGATAAAATAATAAACCTGTACATTGTGTATTGTAAAATACAAAACATCATATAACAATATAAATTGTATGATAAATAATAATATAATAATAATAATAATAATTTGTTAAAGCTTTGTCTAAGCCGAAAAATATTGACAGAATAATATCACAACCTTGTGTAATAATTTTACGAAAAAGTATATTGCTCGCGGTAAGCATCACCGTGAGCTCTCGGTAAGCTTGTTAGGTAGAAAATAATCCACAATCATCATTTTGGTTTTATTTACCTCCGAGTAAAAAAAATATATCTGTATTAAAAAGATTCCCGAATATACAGAATAGGAGTCAAAATGAGCTATAATAAAAGCGATGGAATAAATATGGAATGATATGAAACAAAATGATAGGAAAAGACCATTAGGAAGGTATAAAAAGATGTAATAAGAAAAAAAAATAACGTGACATTATTTGACGAAGGTTTGAACTGGTAAATGTTGAAAAAAAAGGATTGGGTATGACACGGGATGATCTATTGAAACCAGATAAAACAAGATTTAAAAAAATAAATATATTTCGTTAAAAATGATAAAAATTTCGATCAACTACGGTTTACCACACAAACACACATACATATATAAAATTGAGACTAGGTAAGTAACTATGTATTTTTGTGGGGATAAGAATCTATTATCACGTATATTAGGTACCTATATTATTATGACATCAGATATTAACTTATGATAGTAATATAATAGCAATTAAAATCTAGTATTTTTTAGTGAATATCCAATACATGTCCTCTTTACTATCCTTAAAAAAGCTCCACAGGTAGATAGATCAAACTTTCTCTTAACTTGTGGACTTTCCCCAATTTCTCCTCCCTCACTGGTAAGAGTATTTGCTGTACAAAATGTGATAATATGTTACAAAATCTATAAATCTAAACCAATCTAAAACCGTCTATTTTATTGTGGACATACAGCAAGCAAAAATTCACTCTACACTGGATGTCCAATAGATTTTACTGTCTACATAAAAGTTACTCTTATCATCCACAATTCTCATAGAAAATGGCAAATGAGAATGTCGTTTACAACTCTTGTCATTATAGCTAGAAATCTAGTACATTTGTATTAAATATTGTGTAATATTTCCAACGGCAATATTACATAAAATGACTTCTTATACGTTAAAAATACATAGTATTATAATATTGGAGAAAGATCTTCAAAAAATATTATTTAAATGCGTTAAATGTTCTAAAAAATATAATCAATACTTTCCGTTTAACCGCACAGTCATCTTATTGTATAGGTAATATTCTGCAGAGCTAAAATGAAAATAAATTTACTTTTATTATCGTTCCTGTATACATCTCGTCGTCATCGTGGTTAAAAATATTGAAATATTAAAATGTATTTTTAGTACTATTATCGTTTTTCTAACGTGATTTTAAATCAGTTTATAAACTTCTATCGCTATATTCTATTTAGGAAAAAACGTAAAATACATTTCGATAGAAAACCTATGTTATGTTATTACTCCTAAACCATTATTTTTTTTTTTTTCCGAACACATGTATATTGTCGATTTAAGAACGACGGTGAAGTCAGAATTGAGTGGACTGAATAACTATCAAAGTTAAAGCTTTTTAAATTTCTGATATTACGCGGGTATTATATCTTATGTTAAATAACTCTATATTGTTTTCATATAGGCATGTTTATCGTATTCTAATGTTTATAGATATATATTGTGGTCCTAGGATTCGCAAGTTCAAAACCGCGTTTTGAAAAAAATTATTTGCATATTTGTTTCCTCTTTTATCTAAACAGGGAAACAACAATTGTATTTTAGGTGTACTAGAAACCCAGTTATCGCTCACTTGGACTATTTTAATGGAAAAATACCCCACAATTTGTTGTGCAAACTTGTCTACCAGAAACCTTGCTCAGATTTATAATAATGGCACTTTTTCTAAAAGGAAATTTGACTGGGGAGGTACTTTATATAGATCATTTTTTAATTTTCTGAAGAGTTTTCTTAATATATTGGAAAAACCAGGAATAAAAGGATGAAAACCAGGAGAACGGGAAATTAGGTTCAATATTAAACAAATATTATTAAAGAAAATAAATGTCAGCCTATTTAATTATTTTACCATAATATGACATACATATTGTTGGCAAAGCATCACTATCAACTGAACTCCGCTCAGAATCGTTTTTGGTAAGCAATTGTTTACCGTTGCTTACAGATACAAATTAATTTCCACTCTATATCCTAAGTTCTCAACTTCTTATTAATAACAGTGGTTTCACCCATCGTGCGAAGTATGTACGGCTTTTTTTTTTCATCTTATTCCGAACGATTTTTTTTTTTTCTTTGAGCCAGCAATTGATTTTATATTATAATGTGTATT